ACAAAGGGAAATTCGAATATGACAAAAACATCAGATCAATGGCCGATTGGCAATGTACCCCTAATATAAATAAGAATATTGAACGTATAATTTCTCATGATTGTATTATACTTTTGCAGACTAATATCGTAATGTTTAAATTTTATGTGTGTGTTTGCGTAGATGAACACCTCTCTTCTCGGCAGCTTGGGCATGCTCAACTCGGCACCACAGCTGCGATGTATCAAAGCAATGGAGGTTCCACCCTTGCAGCCAATTTCTCCAGGACCAATGAGTGCGCTCAAGCTGGCTCGCCTCATATGGACCACCAACCGCAACCTCATACTCATGGCCCACGATGGAAAAGAGCACCGCTTCCAAGTGTAACCTTCACTCTCTTTACTGACTTAACAATCTTGTGTCAGGACTGCAGTTGATATAGTTTAGTAGGGGTATTGTACCCTATGCACTGATTCATGTACAATCTCAAAGCATTACAACTTTTGTTGAGAATGCTGCCACAACCATTTTTGTACATTCCAAAATGCAGTGGCTTGTGTTCTTGTCAGATTTTCCCCTTTTACAGACGAGCTCTGCTTGTTAAGGCTGATTATGGCATTTACACAATGTTAAGACAACACACACTCAAGTGTAGCCACAGGATCAGTGTGTTTGAAAAGTATGTTTTTTGCACAATGTTTCATGGAAAAGGACTAATTTCTCTAAATAAGTTGGTTCTTTTTGTTTAAAATTGGGTAAAAAATGCCTTATCTCCACAACAGAAATTAGAGTCTGTTAAGTTTCTAGAACATTATCAAAAATCCTAATATGCTGGTCGTCTTTGGCTGTGTCCCATTCGTCTTTATTCTTGGTGGTAAAACAGTGCAAGCATTGTGATTACAATGTGCCTCATGTCCCTCTTAAATAACTAATTGGCATACAATGATCTTTTCAGAATAGTTTTTTTTTATAATTTTAAATGACTTGTAATTTAGTCATTTAGTGATACGAATATTATCAGGTTCAAAATGTTTAATTTAAGGTATGTTAACTAATAGTGAATGTGCTAAGCTCTGTCAGTTGGCACACAAGTTGATCATTACTGTCCAAATTTAAGTGAATCATTTTTGGCAGATAATTATTAATTGGAATCGAAGCTACATTTATCTCGAAATTCTACACCAAAAATGCCCCTTTATAAAGTAGTTTTACATTTTTTGGTTCTTTTGGCAACAGAGTATTAATATTTGGCACTGGACGAACAGAGAAAAAAATATTGACGTCTAAACATGTAATGGTACCCAAGTTTCAGCAACGGAGTGTTTGGGCCGACGTAATTTGTAGCTTCCCCTGCTATTTCGCAGAAAATGGCTGAAGCTTCGATATTTTTACTGCCAACTTTGCAGTTTTTGTTACGAAAACTCGACTCAATTTCCCATCTAGAAACACATGATGAAGGGGGGTTCTCCGTGTCATGTTAAAAACAGTAGAATAGTTACAGTTTTCAATTGTTTGCATGAAAAAATACCTTTAAAAATAATTTAATGTTTATGTACCTTGCTTAGTTTGTAAAGTTTCCTGCCTTTTGGGTGCTTGTGAAGGTTTAATATTAACTGTCTTTCCTCGAGCATTGCTCGTACAAATTTTCAAAAATATATTTATTATTTCTCTTCATTTTCACATTCTTTCTCAATGTATCACTCCTGGAAGTTATTTTCTCTTGTTGGATACCCATGACAAAAGATTTGAATCTTAAAAAAATATATATAAAGGTCTTCTCGAAGCTGGGGGACTTGATCAGTCTTCATTAAGTTTGTTCTCCAAACCGTTTGCTGTTTGTTTTGTAATACTGGCAAGCTTTAAAGCAGCTTTAAAATTTTGGTGGAGGATTTTAGTCGAGTGTGAATGTAAACATTCCAATAGTTAGGATCATCAATGAATATTTATTTTAAAAAATACATTCGGCGACAGTGACCTTCATGTGTATCGAGCTGAATGCAAATTGTTGCTACCATGTAATTGCATCAGCCCACTGTGTACATTTTCTTCGAACACCCGTTTTCTGCAGTTGGATGTGAATATTTTGTTGGCAATATGCTTTCTTTGCTGCTGCTGCTGCTGTAATGCTACTAAGCACACAGGCACTGGTCTGCTTACAGACTTTTGCCTACTGTAGTGTATGTGATTCATATATACACCACATCATAAAATGTCAAGAAGCTGCATATTGTACAGAGTACAATATACCGGTGTGCTTGCATGCATGCATGTAAGCTGCTACAGTGATGGAATATATTTTTTGCGTACGATTTATGTCAGTGCTGTAGTGTCACAGTTAGGAGGTTCTGGAAGCCAATTCATTTTACGGTCATGTACTTTTTGGAAGTGTGTTTGTGGGCATAACTGCTTTAACAACAGTTGGTAAATGTCCTTGCCAGTATTTATTCATGCAATTATTGAGGTGTAAGGAGTTCTGTTACACTTTTTGAAGTGTAAAATAATAAAATTACATGAATTACAATAAAGTGATTGAAAGTAATATCACGCAAAGCTTGTTGTACAGGTTTTTTATGGCGTTAATTTAATTTTAACCGTGCTGCCAGCATGACAGAAAAATAAATCCCTGCAGTTCCCTTTGACAAGATGCATGCCACACATGAGAAAAACCTGAATGCTTCATCAGAGACGAGTTGACACCCTTCAAGGACTTCTAGAATTTAGGCTATGCTGTATAAAACCAAGTGATGCTCAGAGCTGGGGAAGACCAACGTCACCATCAGCAGCCATTGTCCACTGTTGGATGAATGCCTCGTCACATCACCATCCCTCATGGTTCAATGCTGCTCCCCTCCATCTCGGTCCGTTACAAGAATTGATCTCAGCTCCATCTACCAAGTGGTCGTCCTCTTAACTGTGTTCTCTCATTTTGTTTCCACTAAATTACCAGTCCCTGTCCATTGGCCACTTTGCAAAGACAATAAGCTGTGATCGTGGCGGAGCTACTTTTAATAATAGGGTTTTTCCCCTTTTTTTCTGGCAAGAAAACTGAAACCTTTTTACAAGGATTCATGTCTGCATTAACCACAATACTTGCAGTCAAAATGCAAACAAAAAACACACTGCTAATATATGCATTGTCCTTGAAACTGATTGGTCCACATCAAGGGACGGCTTTCTTTTGAGCCTCCACCCAATTGGTGCTCAACCAGAGGAGGCCAAAAGGCGTACAGCTCAAAGACAATGCACTGTTAAAGTAATGAGGGCTCGGGATGAGCATCTAGGGGAAAAAACCCTATTATATTTTGGTACTGGCAAAGTAGGTCTAATGATGGAGCTAATTTTGTTTTAAGTATTGAATTTTCTTAAATGGAATTTTTCTTTGGGGGTGTTTTTGCCATGTTAGGGGGGGACACCAAGGTCAGAATCGGGATATTTGGGTCAAAGTTCACCTTTTTTTTTGGTTGGCGAGGTAGGATCCGTGTAGCAATTTAAATAAGGCGGCGTGGCACTGATCTCATCAATACGCTTCTCTACTCAGGAACGCCTTGGCCAGTCCCATGCTTCATTCAGGGGGATCCTGCAAAAGTTTTGCAGTCGGCAGTGATCATTGCTATGACACTACAGTACATTGTATTTTAATTGATTCCGGGGCTTGCTTTCAAGAGAGTCTTTCCCAGTTACAAAGCAACGTTGGCCCGACATTCCACATACTAGTTTCCGCCTACCGGTATTTGGGATCCGTCGGCCCATTATTAATAGGCGATGCTGATGTATTCTTGAATAGAGCACTGCACAGGTCCTGTGCGAACCAAGGCCGTAGCCATGGAGTCAACATTGGGGGGGACCAAATCTTCCTGGGGGTCCCCCCCGCAGGAAAAAACAATCTAAATTTGAAAATAATTTCCTGCCTAAAATATAATAAATTAACTAACACATAGCATGGACTTTGAATTTATTTTTTACAATAATTTATAATAGTGTATTGTATTAAATTGCTATGTTTTCACTTTTGTTACCTTTTCTTGTTTCATTGTATGTAATGGCAGAGATTAGGGATTAATAAAGTACAATCACAATCATATAGACAGAAATCTTATAGCAATATTTTGGGGGGGACATTCTGAGCATATTTGAATATTAGGGGGGGGGGGTGTGTCCCCCACCCCCCAATATTGCCCCCCCCCCCCAATATAATAATTACAGCCTTGGTACGAACCAAGATTGGCGTGAAGAGAGGACACCGCCACATTCTGCCAGCATTGAAGCTGGTGCTGCCGAGCTCTGTGTGCACAATTGATGGTCTGTGGGTCCAGAGCAGGATGCTGCACTTGGGGGCCGTCCATAAATGACGTCACGCGATTTTGGACGATTTTTACCCCCCCCCCCCCCCCAATCGTCACACGGCGTCAAACCCCCCTCAAATATGACGTCACAAAGCTCTGCCCCCCCCCCCTCCCCAAAAATAAAACATGCTTCAAATCGCTTTAGGAGAAAACATGTATCAAAAAGTCTATTTAATGAAGTGAAAGGTGTTGTCTATATTTATTTAAAGTTGCGCATTTTGATGGGACGTCACATTTCTCACCCCCCCCCCCCACGTCATCACACATCGTCACAAATGTCTGACCCCCCCCCCCCCCAGGTGCGTGACGTCATTTATGATCGGCCCCTTTACACACAAAACTCAAACAAACTTGTAAACAACACCGCCCCAATAGGAATAACACAAAAGGTAACGTTTCGGCAAATGACCCCTCCCTCCCCCCCATAGCACGCGAATTTTCGTGCTATGAGGACGATGCATTCTGTGCTGTGGGATTGGTGGAGGTCCACATCCCGAAACGTCGCCTGCACCACGAGGCGTGGAAACCCCCCCCACCCCCTCCCCGCGCCCCTCGCTTCCAACCCCCTCAGCCAATGGGAGGCGCTGTTCTAGGTGGGGGGGGGCGTGGCCACGTCAGCTGTTGTGGGCGTCGCCATGGAGACGGCGAGGTGAGAGGGCCGAGGGTGAGGTGAGTGGAGGTGGTGGAGGCGGCGGCGGCGAGAGGTGGACGCGAGGTGGACGCGTGGTGGACGCGGCCGGGGGCTTTGTGATCGTGGAAAGAAGGTCGGAGAGTTGCGTGGGTGCTTGCAATGAAGGTGGAGCCGAGTTGTGGTTTGGTTTGAGAGGGTGGAAGTTTGTGTTAGAGGGTGAATTGTTACCTGGTGGGGGGGGGGGGAGCTGGGTGGACTGTTGGTACCAGCGGTGTCAAGATCGGCCTCTGTGGAGGAGGAGGAGGCTCGTGAAGGACGCTGCTACTGGGTAGTGCCAGGCTAGGTGCACCGTGATGCTGCTGGGCATTTGGAGGCAGTCGCCCTCCAACAACAACGGAGGGGCGACGCTCACAACAACGAGCGGAGCGCCGGGTGGCTAAAGCACAGCAAGTTGGCACAGTAAGGGGGCACAGGTGGTGCATCAGCCAGTCGTCTCGGTCATCTCGGTCAGTCGACCCGTGGCACCTGCTGGGTCTGGCCCCGTGACCTGCCAGCGGGCGTTCGACACTTCACGTGGTAGCCTCAAGGTGCACCTAGAGTGGCACAAGCGTCGTGGTGACGTCACCGCCACTTAGTGTCGAATGGCGGTCGGTGTTGTTGTTAAGTTGAGAGGTGGTCTGGGTGGAGAGAGGGGTAAGGTTGGAGTTGTTGCTTATGCGGAGTTGAGTGAAAGTCATGAGGGTGAGGTGATGGTGGAGTTGTGTGTGGGGTGGTGGAGTTGTGTGTGGGGTGATGGAGCGGGTGTGAGGGTGGAACGTTCATGGTGGAGTTGTGATGATGCCACGGGCAGGGTTAGAGAGGTCACGGTGAAGAGTTGAGGTGAGGTTTTTTTTATTATCCTATTCCGCTGGTTTTCCGAGAAAAGCCTAAATGAGTCTCGTTACGCTTTAAGGAGGGTCCTGTAAGTTTTTCCCAGTAGGGGGCGATGATTTACGATGTAAAACCCACACTAATTTGCGGGTACAGGACTTTGTTTGGACCATGATGTCGGAACACAAAAGCCTCACTCTTTCGAATTTACCTCCCTGGATCTTTAACGTCCACTGTGAAGCAGACGGCGCGTATTTGTTTAATGATAATTTCACGCGCAGTATTAAGGCGGCCGCTATGATCGAACCGTGACCCTGAGCAACAAGCGACCATGTCACAGCTCCTGAGGGTGACGGTGGAGTTGACAGGGTTTTTAGTGGGATCATGATGGTGTGGGGTTGTGGGGTTATAGTGGGATCGTGATGGTGTGGGGTTGAGGGCTGATAGTGGGATCATGATGGTGTGGGGTTGAGGGGTTGGAGTGGGATCGTGATGGTATGGAGTTGAGGGGTTATAGTGGGATCATGATGGTGTGGGGTTGAGGGGTTAGAGTGGGATCATGGTGGTGTGGGGTTGAGGGGTTGGAGTGGGATCGTGATGGTATGGAGTTGAGGGGTTATAGTGGGATCATGATGGTGTGGGGTTGAGGGGTTAGAGTGGGATCATGGTGGTGTGGGGTTGAGGGAGGAGAGTGGGATCGTGATGGTGTGGGGTTGAGGGGTTATAGTGGGATCATGATGGTGTGGGGTTGAGGGGTTAGAGTGGGATCATGGTGGTGTGGGGTTGAGGGAGGGCAGTGGGATCATGATGGTGTGGGGTTGAGGGGTTATAGTGGGATCATGATGGTGTGGGGTTGAGGGGTTAGGGTGAGATCATGGTGGTGTGGGGTTGAGGGAGTAGAGTGGGATCATGATGGTGTGGGGTTGAGGGGTTTTAGTGGAATCGTGATGGTGTGGGATTGAGGGAGGGGAGTGGGATCGTGATGGTGTGGGGTTGAGGGAGGAGAGTGGGGTTGCGATGTGGAGTCGTGAGTGTGGAAAGCTGAGTTTGAACTTGTGAGTTTGGAAGAATGAACGTGGATTTGTGATGGTGGAGTTGATGGGGCGCAGAACTAAACATGGTGTTGCGTGACAGTGATGGTGGAGTTATAATACGTTTAACATCGAGAATCACGCCTTTGCTGTCTGTCCTTCGAACTGTTAGCATTGTTCATCTTCTCTGCCTGCTTCTGCCAGTAAGTACATTAGTCATATCCTGTGCCAGTTTAACTCTGCTTTCCTTCATGTGCTTTCTCAACTTCACCTGCATCATACTCTGCTCCTCACGAAGCAACGTCTATTTCACTTCCGTAAGCCATCTCGTATATTTATTCTTGTAATTAGTCATATTTATGGCAAATACATAACCAGATGAAGCATATATTTTAGAGTTCAGAGCAAGTTTTTTAGGCTTATAGAACTGGATTAAGTCGTCCAAGGTAACACTTTTCGAGTGTTGGTTGATCTCTCATTAAAATATAAATCACAGGCTCATAAAAATCTGGTGAACCAGTTTGTCAAATTGTCTATTGCGAACCATGACTTTTGTATATCATCCGTTATTGACACATGTTTTGCAGTCATGTCTGGGCGTAAGAACCAAGGACGTTGTCACCAAAGGGCTTTAGTACATGCCCGTCAAGTAGAAAGTCAACGAGAAGAGCAGAAGAAGTGGTTATCAGAAGACAAGCAGTTTGCTGCCAGTTTAAGGAGCGAAGAGCAGCAGGAGACCCGACGAGGGATACGCAGCCTCCAGCAAGAACAATATGAGCAGCAGCAGAAGGAAGCCCAATTAAAGGTGAGACCAAGTGGAGTAATGTATTCTAGATTTGAAGCTTTTGTGACTGCAAGGATTCATACTCTTAGGTTTTTTCGGTAAAGTCACGTGACTTTACCAAAAAAACCTAAGGGTATGGAGTAATGTAATATTATAGTTTCACATGTAGGCTTTCACGACCAATATCATCCAAAATATATGTTTTGGGTTAGATCGCGTAAATATGTAGTGACATCGCGGGATGTCACTGTACAGTGCCGGGCCGAGAGAGGCACGGCGTGCGATGTAACGACAGCGCGGACACCACTATGATGTGGGTGTAGTACCCGGCCTTAGAGAGGCTCGGTGAGCGCTGATTGATAGCGCTGGATGGCATCACGCTTGGCGTGCAGTGCGAGCCCTACAGGATAGGGTGTGGGAGTACCGGCCGTAGAGAAGGGGTTGCTAAAGGCCATGGCACTCTGGTTGACCCGAGAGGACACGTGACCGGTTAAGTCTACAAAGGGGCCCCGAGTGGGGGCTCGGGGTGGTCACGTGGTCGGGGTCCAGATCCTGCTCGAGGATTCTGGAAGGTGGTCGTGGCCAAGGGCAGAGCGAGCCATGCCGCAGAGAATATAAGCCAGGTCCCCCAGAGGGACCGGCGTTGTTGTTCATCCTAAAGAAACCTTCGTCTACATCTACGTTCTACCGAGTCTCCAACACGTGGACCTGGACCTGAGCTGTGGTCCGGTCCGTAGTAGCCAGTTACGTTGTAATTAGTGTGGTTAGCCTGGTCGTCAACGCCATAGAAGAAAGAACCAAGAAGATAGGAGTTTGCAAGTTGTATTGAAACAGTTTTTTTTTTTATTTCACGGAATGTGTTACCTCCGTGTTGTTGTAAGTGGGGCTTTCGTGCGTCGACTTGCGATTAGTTGGACCAGTGACGGTGAGTTGCAAATAACGTAACATTTTTGCAGCACAGGTTTATTAATTATTGTTGCATGGATAGGGTGTCTCACCTTTATTTTATTAACGGAAGTTTGTATCATCGCGTTTACAGGTAATTGATACGTGCGGTAACGCTCAGCTAACAGCCAGCCAGCCTATGCGACCGTGCCAAGTATATAATTATGTTAATGTGTCCAATCGCACATGCCGATTGTTTGCCGTGTGTGACGTCTAAGTAACCAAACAGTCAACCAGAGGGGTAGAATGTAAGGAAAAAAGTGTGCGCATTATAGAAGATAAAAATATTGTATTTGCTGTAAGTCAGTAGTTAACTCAAATTTGTAGAAACTTGTTAATTTCAGTTGCTTGGTAACATCAGCATCCTAACAAAATGGCTCTGGCCACGTGGCAATGGAGTTAGAGCTTCACTTACCTGCCTTGATGTAAAAAAAAAAGAGTTTGAGAGCATAAAGGCCTATGGAGCTTTACTAGATAGGCCCACCCATACTGATCAGCTACTTGATAAGAGATGAGACAATGTTCTCCGATCCCTAATCCACGACCAGCGTGATGTAAAGTGCAGTGAAACAACCCCATGACCAATCTACCTAAACCATTTCCCTTAGATACGAGCAGCTCTGGATCTGCCAGGCATGGTATAAATTGCATGAGTTTGAATAAGAAAACAAACACAATTTTTGCCTTATATAGAACAGCCATTAAAATATGCTAACCTTAATATATGCATACTTAAAGCAGTTAATTGAACCATGAGTGGAAATTAATGAGAAAATTAAAAAAGCACCCATACTACGGTTCCTATACGTTTTTTTTGTAAGGTGAGTTTTATGTGTAATTTTCCACCATCAGTATACTTTAGGGACCTTCCGATGTTGCACCCCACAGTGAAACCTTGGAACATTTTTGGAGGGAACATTTAAATTTTTCATTCAATTTAGTAGCGTTGCAAAAACACAACACGTATTGTTGACTTGGAATAGATTTGATTAAAGAAATTGTTCATGCAATTGCTGTCTTATGGTTGTCCGTTCAGGCTGAAGAAATGAAACTTCTGAGGGAGCAGCGGTTGGAGCAAGAAGAAAGGATTGCTCGTGAAATGGAAAAAATCAGGCTTGATCAAATCAGGGACGAGAAAATGAGGTTGCAAATAAGAGAAAATAGGTAACGTGGTACATTTTCAGATACAAATATTCAATGTCTATAAAACATGGAACATCCACAATGCACCAGATTCCCCCCCCCCCCCCCCCCCAATGGGTTGTGCATATTTCCTTTCATATAAACCCTTCAAGAACATCTGAATGTGGCAAATAATTTAAGCATCAGTTAGACAAATTTGCAGCATGTGAGGTTTCATGGTCAAGATTACATTATGGCGGTGCTTTTCTTCTCATTGTTGCAAGGCACATGTCCAAGTGCCCAACATGTAAATCTGTTAGTCACAAACTTTTCATAAAGTTAACACTAGATTTGAAGTTTTCGTGACTGCAGGAATTACTCTTTGGTTCTTTCGGTAAAGTCATGTAGAAATAAATACATTAAATAATAGAGTACAGCGTTTCGATTGCAACACAAGCAACTGTCATCAGGTAGAACTAAATTTGAGAGGGAGACAAGACACGGAGACACACAGACACACAAGCAGAGAGAGACAACACAGAGTCAGAGAGAGACACAACATAGACACACAGAGAGAGACAACACAGAGAGAGACACAACACAGAGACACTCTGTGTGTCTCTGTGTTGTGTCTCTGCTTGTGTGTCTGTCTGTCTATGTTGTGTGTCTCTCTCTGTGTGTCTGTGTTGTCTCTCTCTGCTTGTGTGTCTGTGCTGTGTGTCTCTCTCTGTGCGTCTGTCTGTGTGTCTCCGTGTCTGTGTTTTCTCTCTCAAATTTAGTTCTACCTGATAACGGTTGCTTGTGTTGCAATCGAAACGTCGTACTCTATTATTTAATTTATTTTCTTTCTACATGACATTACCGAAAGAACCAAAGAGTAAAGTTAACACTTTTTGGAATGGAGCAAGGTTATGAGGATTTGGAAAAGGAGATGACTGGATGGAATTATGTCTCGCAGGGTGAGGGAAAGAGAATAAATAGAAGTGCTTTTATCAGCATTGTGGTGATTGAATAGAGTGATTTCGATGAAACGGTCCTCTACATTTGTGGAGAAATCAATGGTTGAAGTTGATGAGAACAGTAACCATGGAAGTCGTGATAGAGTGGTCTTGGCAGCGGATTAGTGCAGTGATAACACTTGTGCCTCACAGAAAAAGCTTTTGGGTTCAAATCCCCACTTTGTGTGCCTTTCTTTGTGGAGTCTATGTTTTCCCATATTTTGGATGGGTTTCCTCTGGGTTTTTTGATTTCCTGCAAAAGCACAAAATATACCTGGTATTGGCCAAACATCCAATTTCAAAAACAACCCTGAAAATTACGCATACACATAGCAAGGTCACCTCCTTAAAGGAAACTTGGTAGAACCCTCCTGAAAAAGAGCATTGATTTTGTGAGGCTTTCCCTGAGTCAACAAGCATACTAATAATGATGAGACTGACCACAGCTGTGAGTGCTTAATGATGACAATGTTCGATTATGTTATTGCGTTAAATTGTGTTAATTATGTTTGATGTTATGCCATGACTGGTTGCTGTGTGCATTTTAGCCTGGAGTTGAGAGAGCTGGAGGCAAAGCTCAAGGCTGGCTACACTCAACGTGAATGGGCGGCACAGATTGCAGAGAAACGTACTACGCTTCTTGATACAATGGTGAATATATACATCTCTTCATTTGTGTGTTCTTTATAGCACAGGGGAAATCCAAAAATCCATGGTGATGTGGGGGGACCGACCAGCAGATCCTGTAACTCGCGATACACCGTGAAAAATAATCTAAGAATTAATCTGTGATGACAAAATTCCTGCCATCAGGGTGCTCCTCAAATTTTAGGAGGATTTTAGCTGCGTGACTCCGTTAACTCATGGGGATAATGTGGATTATAGGAGTTTTGTCCTATTTGTCTGTATAAAAATGTGGATTATAGGGGTTCTGTCCTGTGTCTATGTGAAAACATGAATTTTAGGAGTTCTAAATTATTTATAATTGAGACCTATTGGGCTCGTCTAAAAAAAAAAAATGCAAAAAACACTTAGCACTCGAGAGATCATGTCAGCACAGTCAATCTGTGTAACGACAAACAAGAAAGGTAAAACAAATGATGCACCTCCATTTGCCCCTCTGCAGCTGCGTTTGTCTCTCTGCAGCTCATTTTATCTCTCTGCAGCTCAATATGTCTATGTTGCCCCCTTTTCTCTCTCTAGTTCCGTTTGCCTCTGTAGTTCTGTTTGTCTCTCCGTAGTTGTGTTTGTCTCTGTGCACCTTCGTTTGTCTCTGCCACTCCGTTTACGTCTCTATATACTCTTAGGTTCTTTCGGTAAGGTCACGTAGGTAGAAAAATATAATAAAAAATAATATATCACGACGTTTCGATCGCAACACAAGCGGTTGTCCTCAGGCGGAAAAAATCATCCAGCAGTGGAACTGCTGAACTAGGAAGAACAGCGAGAGAGCTGTTACAACAAGAGGTTTTTAATGAACTGCCCTTCACCACATATATGGATTATTTTTTCCGCCTGAGGACGACCGCTTGTGTTGCGATCGAAACGTCGTGATGTATTATATTTTATTTTTCTACCTACGTGACTTTACCGAAAGAACCAAAGAGTATGGATTCCTGCAGTCACGGAAGCTTCAAATCAAGATTATGTCTCTATATTGTCTTTCTGCAACTCAATTTGTATCTTTGCAGCTCCGTTTTATCTCCCTCTATTTTTGTGTCCATGTATCTGTCTTAATGTATCTCCGCTTGGCTCCAATATAATCCATCCTCCAATATTAGAAGAATATTGGAGGATGGATTATATTGGAGCTCTCCTGTGATATATACACATTTACACAAAATGGTTATTTAAGTTTCATTAAAAAAAATTTCTTTTATTTGAAACCTACGATTTGTTCACTTGCCTATCTGATAATGATGAATTGAGGGCAAGTTACTGAGACGACATTGGAGTGGACACCCAGAGGCTAGCGACTTAGAGGAAACCTAAAGCTAGACCAGTGCATTACTGTAGGCACAAGAGATAATCTTGGAGGTCAGGTGCCAACTCTAAACAGCTGATGTATTTAACAAATGGAAAGAAGCAATAGACTGATGTTGTGGCAATGACTGATGATCTCTTGACCTTGATTACATGTACTACATTAAGTTGCTGGTTTTCCTGGTAAACCTTCCTGGTTATCAAGACGTAATTAACTTGATTAAAATGTTTTTCATGTACATTACCTAAATCATTTATATTCTTAATTTTAAAATAAAAATAACCCTTTAATTAAAATTGGTTTATTAAATGCATTCATATTTAATGTTTAATATTGTTTATAATTCCTCTCACTTTCAATATTTTTGTTATTTTTTGTTGCTATGTAAAAAAAACAACAACTTGGTTTCCTTTTCGGTATTTATAATGCAATTAAATAACGGTGAGATAACAAGCCTCGTTTGGGAGAGAAACCTGCACTAAAACTAGTGACATAAAGCTGCATAATTAGAGGAAATTATAAATGAGGTACATGTATTGCATGGCCTACTAGTTCATTCGGTGGCAACCCTGATATATTACAGTATATCACGAAAGAACGTGTGTTATTGGGGCTTTGTTGATATATTTTTCCCCATGTTGGTAACTTTTTTGTTGTTTTATTGAGCCTGAGTAGGCGTGTTTCATGATTACTGTGAGAATGTGATTTGTATGTGATTTTGTGATGTTGTCTGAATTCCTAATAGAGGCATGAGGCAGAGAGTGCTCGACAAATGAGAGAAGAGTACGAACGTGAGAGCCAAGTGGAGCAGAAAAAGGCACATTTGCGCTGGGAGCAGACCGTGAGATACCAGCAGGACCTGGAGCAGCAGCTGGAGGAAAAGGAGCGACGCAAGCAGGAGGGTTATGAGGAGTTCCTTCGGGAAAAGCTCATGGTTGATGAGATCGTCCGGAAGATATATGAGGAGGATCAGAGGTAATATTGGGCCATCATTACCCTACGTTATCAATATGAGCACTTTCATTCGTTTTAGTTCACTATTTCCTACTTTTATGTTTCAAATATATTTTATGCAGTACAGGAGACCGTTAAATATCGTGGGTTTATCGTTGGCAGTTTCGACCTATCGTGGGCAACCTGTTTGTATACGGATTTAGCTATTGCGGGGGTTATGGCATTTCATAGGTATGGCTGATACTGCTAGGCGGGGCGGGTAAGGGACGCGAGGTAGTCAGTGGCACATCAACCTTTGCCATGCAAGCATCTCGCGGACAAAAACCCCCGAATAGCCTATTAACAGACTGTTGGGGCAAGTGCTGTCAGCAAGCACCTATGAAGGCTGGCACGGCACACGAGGGGGTGGGTGGCCAGCACCACGCCCGGCCGCCTTTGTCTCCCCAGTGGCGATGATTACACAATGCGCCAGGTACTCATTTGAGGCTGAGTCAACTTAGCAGAGGCCCAGGACCGATTCAGATAATCGTCACTGGGGTTGGGTGTGAGCGGGAAGCAAACTCGGGCCACCGGTTCATAGAGCAGGGCGCTACCGCTCCCCACTCACGGACAAGCACACCTGCTTTGGATCACCATCATCGGTAAGCAGAACCGGCCCGAGACCTTTGGGGGCCCTAAGCAAAATTTGGTTGTAGGCCCGTTTGATGTATGATTGTTTTCACCCACTAGCTAGCAGTGACTCTAGGGGGCCCTCTGCTGGCCACGGGGCCCTTTGCAATTGCAAGGGTCGCTTAGTGGCTGGGCCGGCTCTGTCGGTAAGTAAAGTATTTAGTATTTATATGACTATTTATTGTCTAGGAATGTGTTATGCTTAGGGGTTCTACATGTTTATTTCAATTTAGTTTTTTCAGTTTATTTGGCATCCAGTACAATACTTATTTCAATTGTAATGTGTCCATTTTTGGATGCAGTGTACCTAACCCAATTATTTACGTACGGCTTAAGCATTGAATATCGCGGGTTTGGCATTCGCGGAACTGTTCCAAAAACATAACCCCCGAGATATTCAAGGGTCTCCTGTATAGTAGTAGGTTTTTACCCTTTTAAACTGGTACAAAACTGACACCTTTAAAAACCTACTTCTATATTTTGCCACTGGTAAAAGAGATCTCATAGTGGTCTCCTGTATGTTATCTTTTCATGTAAAATGTTACTGAGATTTGAAAAGATGTCGTAGTTGCTCATGTATGGCTTATCAAAGCATGTTAATGATCGGCAATTATATGTTGATGTTTCCATTTGCTATTAATTGTTGTGCCTACTCACAGAGAGATAGAGCTGCGGCTGGAAAAACAACGGGCAACACAGCATTACATCCAGGAGTTCCGCGAAAAACGAGAAGAATGGAAAAAAATGGAGCAGGATAGAATGGAAGAGGAAAATCGAAAGCTCATGGAGTTTGCACATCTTCAGGAAAGACGTAGGGAGGACCATATGGCCCAAATACGGGAGAGAGAGGCTCTCAAGGATGTGCTGCATCAGCAGGTATGCATGCCATCACCTTCAGTTATCTTCTATGTACTGCTGATAAAGGCCTCCCCATGTTTTTTTTTCCATTCCTCACGAACCTGCAATAACAATCCATCTGCATACCAGCTAATCCCGTTGGTCAGTCATTCACCATTCTCCCCCATGGACTATACTTCTTGGAATGTGAACTACCCATACTTCATTTTTAAATCGTCAATATATCTATAATTTGTGTTTGTTCTCTCAAACCAAGCATTCCTTTTTCATGTAATCCCTAGCATGTAGTAGTCTCTTCACATTTGTGCAAACTTGTTCTATTTTCTTTGCCAGTGTCTATAAATATGATTCATATGTCACTTCAGTTAATATGCACTGAATGAAAAGTTATATTTTGGCAAAGTGGCATGTTGCTTTGCATTATCAGATAACATTTTTTATAAGGGACTATACAACCTGTTCTTGCCTCATGAGTTAATTCCTCTGATCAGGGTTCACCTGAATTAATTTGCTTCCATATGCAATTGTGTCCTTACAAAAATTATATTATCATGTTCAGCAAACAAATTATATTGCACTTTACAAGACAATTTTGAAGGTCAATATTGGTCGCTTTTCACCAAGTAACTCAAATATACAGAATATGGTACAATTACATTGTTTTTCCTGCCAGCTAACTTACCAAAGCAAATTACATGGCTTGGTATCATCACACTTTTTCACACCTTGTGTCGGCATATAATTTGCACATGCAGATTTTACAACTATATATTTTTAATCATGCTTGGAATATGCTTTTTGGATCTTGAAGATAAACAAAAGCACAATAAGTAAAACATCTTACACGTACTTATCTGAATAAAAACATCTATACTTAATTTTTACATCTGTGATAATTGTTATTATATTACACGGGAAACGTTATAACTGCATTACAATGCTCTGGGCACCATATTACAGTTGCAGCTAATTCGTGTTCTTTAGTGCAATGCTATGTGCGTGTTGCATTGGAATTAATGCAGTTTACTACTCAATATTGACTACTTTTAAAAATCCTTTATATTAAGTTCACTTGCTTGCTTGCTTACGCGCTTACGACCGTGCAAATCTTTCGGTCGTTTTTAACCCACTTCTCGTGATCCAATCGAGCTGACATTTTACACACAGACTCGTTGTGCGTGACAATTTATTTTCGTGAAAACATTTTTCCAAAATTTTCCACTTTTTAGGAAAAAAAAAATTTCATATTTAATTTCAAATATCAATGTGATAAAAATGAAACTCTTACTCAAGAAAAACAGAAATGAATAATAAAATAAAACCGATGCCACGCATATAAAGGATTTATAGTGAAAAACTTTGTTTTTACGGGTTAATTTTTTTCCATTCATCATAATCACGGTCCATGGGCAGAGAGCCCGTAGGTGTCCACTGCACATATCGTCATTTGTTTCCACTTTCCTCTGTCTTGTGCCAATATGCTCAAGTAGCGCCACATCTTTATGGCACCAATCTCTGATGTCGTCATCAAGGGATTATCCGTTAGGTATTCCTCTCTTTCTGGTTCCTTCCATTTTCCCGAACAACACACTTTTAATGTTGCTGTTGTGGTCCATCCTACATATGTGTCCAAATACTGTAGTTCCAGTTTCCTTCTCATCGCTGCCTGCATCAGGTCTTCTATGTGCAAACTTTTTCTTACTTCTATGTTAGTCACTCTTTGGGGCCTAGTTTGGATGCAGTATTCTCTAGCAATACATTTCGAATGCCAATATCTTATCTCTGTCAGTCTTGTTCAATTTCCAAACTCTCGCAGCCATACAAAGCTGTAATGAACACGCATGTTCTTAAGATGTTCAGTTTGGTCCTATAGCCGTTTTGCTTGCTTCTCCAGGTGTTATTGAATCCTGCCATTACTCCTTTTGCCTTTGCGATCCTCGCTCTTATGCCTTTCGTGCAGTCATTGTTTCATATCAGTCGACTTCCCAAGTATACAGATTCCCTTACATTCACAATCTTGCTGATTTATGTTATTACTTCTTTCTCAATGTCCTCCCGAACACCATTGCGTCCGTTCCTCCACGTTAATCCTCAGGCCTGCATCCTTTCCTGACTTATTCAGTGCATGAACACTTTCCTGCAGTACTACACAGCTTTCTTCCATGAGATCTATGTCGTCCACGGATCTCAAGTTATTGATTCTTTATCTTTATTCATGTTAATGTGAGAGCCCCTTTTGGGAATAACAAGCATCTCACGATGCCACCACTGCTCTTGATATGTATCTCCAGGTTTGAAACTAAAACCTGCATCATTGCCTAAACGTTACACTCCAAATTGTGTATCGTGACTTGGCCTAATACGATATTTGTCAAGTTCATTATTAAACCACCATTTAAAATAAAACTCTTAACTCCACAGTCTCAAGTTTACAAAAGTGATTACGTAACTTTATTGACACCTGTATGTTATGTTCAGCTTGCAGAGAGAATTGTGACTGAGAAACAGGAGCGTGAAGAGCTCGAACAAATACGGGAGGAGCTCCTCCTCGAAGAGCAAGAGGAGGCTGCACGTCAGAAGGAAATTGTATGCAGCTGTTTTACTCCTATTCCAAAGTTGGCACCGTGTTTGTACTTTGTATGTCTGTATGGTAAACATATATCTAGTAACAATATACATTTGTTAGAGAGGATATGTTCCTGCTAATAAAACGCTTGTTCATTTAATTAGTGTGTTATGGACAACAATCCACGTAAAACACACAATTCATTTGTTAGATGAAAGGTATATCGTCGAAATTAAAATAAACCGGAATTTTTATAAAGCACCAGTAGTTATTTTCCACCAACTTTTGTTTAAATGATGAGGTGACAAGTTCACTTGTGGTGCTTTATGCAAAGTCACTGCTGTGGTCAGTAGACCTTATTTCAAAGATCAAAACAATGTTATTCTTAACACACAACCTACTGCTAATAATTCAAGTTGACTAAATATAATGATCAGTTACTACAACGTTATAAAATAATGTACTAAATCTTGTACAAGTTATTATATAACATTTAGTACAGTTCGTACACCGCTGCGTCATATTTATGGGATTAAATGCATGTAAATGTGTTACAGGCCGAATTGGAGAAAAAGATAAGACAACGTTTGGAGTGGCAGCACACATATCAGGAGGCTTTGGCGCTAAAGCAGCTACATCTGCAAGCACAGCATGAAGAGGAGGAACACTTCAGGCAGCAGATGCTGGTGAAGTTTGCTGAAGATGATCGTATTGAGCAGATGAATGTTCAAAAGAAGCGCATGAAACAACTTGAGCACCGCCGTGCTGTACAAAACCTGATTGAAGAGAGACGAAAACTTTCTCAGGCTGAGCAGGTAAGGTTTATTTTAAGTTTCACTGTAATCTAGTTGTATGTGCTTCGTAGAAATACGAGTGGGAAGCCTCTCCTACCGACGGGGTGATTGTTACTCTTTGGTTCTTTCGGTAAAGTCACGTAGGTATAAAATAAATTAAATTAAATCGTGACGTTGCGGGCGCAACACAAGCGTCCGTCATCAGGTGGGACAACCACAGCAAGAAACAATTGCTGAAGTGGGCAAAAGGGCTGCTGTAACAAGAGGCTATATAGGTGTGAATATTTCCATCAGCTCTGCCCCTTTTGGCCCTGCCCTTCCCTTCCCTTGTTGACCCAATACTTTGTATTAATTAAACATTGTTTTAAGGTACGTGTTGGATGAGTGTTTTAATATTTTTGCAAATAACAAGGTTTGATTTTTAGTAAAGACTAAGGAGAGGTATAAACCATGCACTACTGAACTATGCTAACTATTACTGGGGGCAAGTCCACATGGACTTGAAAGATAAACTCTTATGTGTCAAAAGGATTGTTTCACATTCATCTATGTTAAACAGTACAGCTAATGGTTGGTTTGATCACTCTAGAATATTCTGAAATTGATTGTGCACATCAGATTACTTTTGTGCCAAGTTGGACACAATGCACATAGAAGGCCTAAATATTTGTAATGTGTCAGTTATAACTCTTGAATTGCAGCCCAACACTTTGCAGACTATGTTATTTACACCTCTTGGCCTCTTTATAGATGGGCCACACATTTAAATGTTTGGCAAAGCAATAGTATTTGCAAGCAACATTGAGATCATAACACCAGAAGTCTACCGGGCAGTGGTAGTGGGCTTCCCAGCCTCTGGTTAACATGTTAATATATGAATTATATTGTATAATATAATTAGCTGCCTAATTGGAACCCCACATGGATGAATTGGCAGCCTTTGACTAGGAGGTCAGGACAGTCTGAATGATGTTGACTAATCGTTGCATGTCATGTCAGTACTGGTCTAGAATAAGCAATGGGCTTTTTGTCTCATCAAGTAACTATAAACAAAAATTCAACATTGCTTGTTTTATGTTAATTACGTGTAGTAATTGAAGTTATACCAAATTAACACAAAGTATTCTCCAATATTATACTCTGTGGTGTTAATTTACGCAGTGATGCAATGTTTGAATGACAAATCACTTCTCAAAGTGTATTACAACATGTCTGCATGGCATTGCCTTTAACAGGAACGTGAGCTGAAGGCTCAGAAAGAGGCTGATCAGGTTGAGATGATGCGTCGAGCCATCATTGAAGAGGAGAGACAAAAACTGCTTAAGGAACATGCAGCTAAACTTCTTGGATTTTTACCCAAGGTTTGTACAAATTTCACAATTCACCTTATACCATGTTTTTACATGTAAATTTGACATTTAGAGTGGAAGAAAATATGCAATATATTTGATCAAATTTCTCCAAAATTACGTTGAAATTGCATTTATTTATCTCTTACAAACCTGTCATGTAAATTGACATGGTGGAATAAATCAATACTGCAGTACATACTTCAGAAAAGTATATATTTAAAAGTAGAATTAGTGATTGAGCTATTTCCATTTTCTACCTGTTTTTTTTACACGCTTTCTATTAACTCACTCTGTTGTTGTTGTCGTTGTATCCTCAAATCTTGTAACTCAATTTTAACCCACTTCCCAATGTGGTATCGACTGCAAACTTGGTATACTTATGCCATACTAATGACAATACTATATTTTATCATACATTTTTTTTTTAAACAATCTTTTGTATATGTTATGTTTCGGCTTGGCTCTAATTGTCCACGGTAAACTCACGTTGGCTGTAATTGACCACAGTCTCTTACATTATGGCAAGCTTCGGGGCCACTTCTTGGGGTCGTGGAGTTCTTCCATTCCTAGTACGGTACATTTCATTAAAGCGTATTAAAAAACAAGTTTTTTAAATACTACTTATATAAGTATAAATATGAGTACAGCTCTATTTTCTCATTGTCCCAATGAGAGGACAAGATGTAGCAGTGATTTCTCTGCTCTGAGATGCTCTATTTAAATTCCCACTTACCATGAAGCCCACCCCCTCCCCCATGCTCTCACTGGTGGCACTGCCCAAAGCTGACCCATTGCTATGATGATGAGAATACTGTGCTGTTGTTGATAATACTGTTGATCATGGTGATTATTTTTATAATCGTAATAATAACGATAATGTTTCTGCTGATTTAATGATAATGCCACTGCTGGTGATGCTGATTATGAATACGATTAACAAATACAGGCACTCCTTGAAAAACGTGTTCCTGGAAAAGCACGGTATCTCAAAATCACATATTTCAAAAGCAATTTTCCCATAAGAAATCATGGAAAAGGAGGGGGTTATGGGATTTTACTCACACTCGCAGACATAATCGCCTGTATTATCCAAGCATTTATCAATCAATACAATACATATACACATAATATAATACTTACAATGAAAAAGAAAATCACGTAAACTATATACTTCATATAATATATAAATTAAATAAAGAAATACAATGTCACAAAGGGAAGAGTGCTGCGAGATGATGTATAGTTTAGCACACTCGTTATCGTACCACACTGACACTGGCTGCTGGCAACGCCATTGGGTCGCGGTGCCAGGCTCGGGTGGCGTATGTCGCGTTGCAGGTTACGTTATTCATAAAATTGCCTCGCGTATGTCAATAAAATGTCTAAATACAAAACACGCATTATTTCAAAATGGAATTCCACAAAAAGATGTAAACCGAGGATTGCCTGTATGGTGTTACTATGATTGTGATCCTTCTGTTGATGACGATTCTGCTGCTGTTGATGATGATGGCAGGTTATTACATTTTTTAATGATCCCCTCATATCCATGGGGTTTTTTGCAGGCGTATGTACAGCAATACGGTACAGGTAGCAATTGAAAACGGACGACAGCGTTATATAGTACTGAGATAACGAACACAACTATGGGATTCATTTTGGGGGAAAATTGTTCAGTTTACGACATACAGTAAATTCTGGTTGCGGATCTTTCTCGGGAACCTAACCCTTACGTAACCCGGGGACTGCCTGTAATAGCACCACTTGTGTTCTTACAATGCTGTGTAATATAGGTGGCAGTAGGGATTTTTTTTTATGGAGAAGCTATTTTGACCAAAAATGTGTAATAGATTGTGCATCGGTCATCTTTAAAGGTATACCTTTTCATGTAGATGGAAATATTGTCAGTGGCAGACGGAGATTTGTTTGGTATTATATAAATGTGTATTTGCTAACTCGTGAAAGACAACTTTGGTTATGTTAATCATGTCTTGCAAATGTTTATCTTTTATGGTAATTACTAGGGCTATCATGTATATCGTTTTTCATGTTCATTATGTCCTTTTTCTGTGATCAGGGTGTATTTAAAGATGACAAAGATCTGGAATTATTCGATGAGAAGTTCAAACAAACATACCGCAAGCAAGAGGAAAATCAAGTTTCAGATGACAGCTTTCATTTCTAAAAGCTATAGAACACAATGGCAAACTTAAAGCTCTCATTCAATATATCAGTAATAATCAGAAAATTCACATACAGTATACAATGTTAAGAATTCTGCAATGTTTGATTGTTTTAGGTAACCGTTATATTTTCATGTTATTCTTTCGAAATGTGTAATTTTAATATTCGTATTTGTATCTTAAATGGTGTGCTTTTTTTGTTCATAATTATCTGTGATAAAGCCGTTAAGGTTATTTTATGAATTCAAACTTAAAAGATTAAAACAAATTGAGAGTAGATAAAATTAGCATGTGTATGTATGCCTAACATGAGAGAACCCTCTGGTTGATTCTAGATTTGAAGCTTTCGTGACTGCAAGGATTCATACTCTTAGGTTTTTTCGGTAAAGTCACGTAGGTAAAAATAAATAATAATAGAAATAATAATAATATAAATAAAATAATAAATCACGACGTTTCGGAGGCAACACAAGTCTCCGTCATCCGGTGGGACCGTCACAGCTAAATTTACTGTATCAAGTGAGGCAAAATTCCAAGAGACAAGCTCTTAAATACAAGTTAAGGGGGAGGGGGGGAGGGGCTTATCTGAATGTGGTAGCCAGGGAATGGAACGTGTTGGCTACCACATTCAGATAAGCCCCTCCCCCCCTCCCCCTTGTATTTAAGAGCTTGTCTCTTGGAATTTTGCCTCACTTGATACAGTAAATTTAGATGTGACGGTCCCACCTGATGACGGAGAATTGTGTTGCCTCCGAAACGTCGTGATTTATTATTTTATTTCTATTATTTCTACTATTATTATTTATTTTTACCTACGTGACTTTACCGAAAACACCTAAGAGTATGAATCCTCTGGTTGATTTTGAACATTCCAAATACTGTTGTGTATATCAGACCAAACACTCGATCCAATATAACCCTAAGTAAAAATTTGTTGAGAAAAATACTTACCATTACACAACAACATTGTCAAAATCCAGTTAAATGACGTAATTTATTTTGAAAGAAAAACCTGAAATCTGATTATCTTGAGGTGGTGATCCACATTTTTGACGTGAAGCCGATAAGCGGTGCGGGCAATTTTTAATGCTTTCCAAATAAAGTTGAAAGCATCAATACAGCTCTGCCCATCTGTTTGTTCATTTGGCTGTCTTTTTAAAAGCACGGTTTCTGAGCACATGCTAAAAGGATTCTTTCATTGAGTAAATTAACAAGTACTTTGGAAAAGAGACAATGTAGACAATTCTCAAGTCCACCTGTGTGAGAAGAGCAGAAAATAGTTTTAACCTGCAGTATGGTGGTTTAATAAATCAGTTTCATTTATTTGGTAGAGCCCTGTGAGCCATTCGGGTCTTGAATTGGGTGCAACCGCAACAAACAAAAACATGAACAAGAAACATCCTAAAGTGACTACGCACAAACATAAAAATCCAGGAAAAAAGAGCAAAGTCTTCCAGAAAAAGCACCGTATATCAATGCTGTGTGCAAAAATCCCAGTGGGATGCAAGTCAAACAATAACAACCATAAGACAATTTAGATTAAAGTTAACAGTCTTAACTGTACTACAACAAACACATATGGCTAAATGATGGACGGGACGAAGAATCTAAAACAAATTATAACAAGTACACAGATGTATACTGGAAATTACAATGAGACACCGATCAGAGAGAGATTGCACGGCGGAAGCAAGATGTTATCTCCCTCACCTAATATGCAGGAGGTTGTGAGTTCGATCCCAACGCCTGTATATGTGGAATTTGCGTATTCTCTCTCGTGGTGGTTGTGTGGATTTTTCTCCGGCTCCTGTGTTGCCCTCCACATTTAAATTGTTTTGGCTGTTACGATATTCACAAATACGATAGGTCACTTCAATGGGCTATCAAGTGTGGCCAGGTTGTCTCTGAATAGAGCAAATAGAATAATAGGGGTTTTTCCCATTTTTTCTGGCAACAAAACAGAATTTTTTTTTACAAGGAATCATGTGTGAATTAACCACAATACTTGTGGTCACAATGCATTTTGATCACAAGTATTGTGGTTAATGCACACATGATTCCTTGTAAAAAGATTTCAGTTTTGTTACCAGAAAAAGGGAAAACCCCTATTATGTTTTGGTACTGGCAAAGGAGGTCTAATGATGTAGAGCAAATAACTCCGTGGGATTCACTTGGAAAACTATTTTCGTTGACATTGCTCATTAAGAAACATAAGTGGCACCTTCGCGGTAAACATTGTTAAAATGGATGGCCAATGGATGTGACTGGTGATGGATTGGTAGCCAATTCAGGGAACACGCCGCCCGAGAATGGAAACCACCGCATTCGGAGTGACGTGCGGATCGAGATGACAGAGTGTGGCATGTCAGGACTGAGGGATGGCGACCACGTGCAGAGTAAGTCTTCATCTGCTCCGAGATGGATTATGGCTGATGATGAATATATAAAACTTTTAACATCTCCATATACTCTCGCTACCTCTCTGTATCATCTCAATAACGTACATACCATGTGTCTTTAACACACATGTCACGTCTCTTAATATCTCAATGTGCAATATATAAGAACAGTCGGTGGGTTATGCATAATGTAATGACGTGAGGTTATAATACATCTGAAATATTGTCCCACAAAATTGAGTAATAACATTTCCAGTTTTTTTAATGTTCCAACATGGACTTAATCACTCAAATAAACGTTCAATTAAACGGTGTCAGTAAACTGCAGCGGTAGCCCAACTCATCTGGCAAGGACAAAGCCTCTCCCTTCTCAAAGTTGAAACCACAGCGTCCTTTATTGTCAAAGTTATTTACGGCACTCGTAGTATTGCCACGTTTCTCAACCAAAAATAGTCATCTTCGACTCCGGCACGCGAAAGAAGTTCGACGCACGTGCAGCACGTGCGTTGGCTCTGTGCGTCACTATGAGCGTGACGTCACCAAAGGGGGCGGGGCGGTGGGGCTGTGGGGGCAGCGGCAACCGCCGTCTCAGGCGGCCATGGCGGCATCCGTGAAGCGTCCGTGAGTCCGTGAGGTGAGTGGGTCGTGAGGTGAAGGGGTCGTGAGGGGGGCCCGTGAGGTGAGTGGGTCGTGAGGGGGGTCCGTGAGGTGAGTGGGTCGTGAGGGGGGTCCGTGAGGTGAGTGGGTCGTGAGGGGGGTCCGTGAGGTGAGGGGGTCGTGAGGTGAGGGGGGTCGTGAGGGGGGTCCGTGAGGTGAGTGGGTCGTGAGGTGAGGGGGTCCGTGAGGTGAAGGGGGGTCGTGAGGGGGGTCCGTGAGGTGAGTGGGTCGTGAGGTGAGGGGGTCGTGAGGTGAGGGGGGTCCGTGAGGTGAGTGGGTCGTGAGGTGAGTGGGTCCGTGAGGTGAGGGGGGTCCGTGAGGTGAAGGGGGGTCGTGAGGGGGGTCCGTGAGGTGAGTGGGTCCGTGAGGTGAGTGGGTCCGTGAGGTGAGTGGGTCCGTGAGGTGAGTGGGTCCGTGAGGTGAGTGGGTCCGTGAGGTGAGTGGGTCCGTGAGGTGAGTGGGTCCGTGAGGTGAGTGGGTCGTGAGGTGAGTGGGTCGTGAGGTGAGGGGGGTCCGTGAGGTGAGGGGGGTCCGTGAGGTGAGGGGGGTCCGTGAGGTGAGGGGGGTCCGTGAGGTGAGGGGGTCCGTGAGGGGAGTGGGTCCGTGAGGTGAGTGGGTCGTGAGGTGAGTGGGTCGTGAGGTGAGGGGGGTCCGTGAGGTGAGGGGGGTCCGTGAGGTGAGGGGGGTCCGGGAGGTGAGGGGGGTCCGTGAGGTGAGTGGGTCCGTGAGGTGAGTGGGTCCGTGAGGTGAGTGGGTCCGTGAGGTGAGTGGGTCGTGAGGTGAGTGGGTCGTGAGGTGAGGGGGTCCGTGAGGTGAGTGGGTCCGTGAGGTGAGGGGGGTCCGTGAGGTGAGGGGGGTCCGTGAGGTGAGTGGGTCCGTGAGGTGAGTGGGTCGTGAGGTGAGGGGGGTCCGTGAGGTGAGTGGGTCCGTGAGGTGAGGGGGGTCCGTGAGGTGAGGGGGGTCCGTGAGGTGAGGGGGTCCGTGAGGTGAGGGGGTCGTGAGGTGAGGGGGGTCCGTGAGGTGAGTGGGTCCGTGAGGTGAGTGGGTCCGTGAGGTGAGTGGGTCGTGAGGTGAGGGGGGTCGTGAGGTGAGGGGGGTCCGTGAGGTGAGTGGGTCCGTGAGGTGAGTGGGTCCGTGAGGTGAGGGGGGTCCGTGAGGTGAGGGGGTTCGTGAGGTGAGGGGGGTCTGTGAGGTGAGGGGGTCGTGAGGTGAGTGGGCCGTGAGGTGAGGGGTGTCCGTGAGGTGAGGGGGGTCTGTGAGGTGAGGGGGTCGTGAGGTGAGGGGGGTTCGTGAGGTGAGGGGGTCCGTGAGGTGAGTGGGTCGTGAGGTGAGGGGGGTCCGTGAGGTGAGGGGGGTCGTGAGGGGAGGGGGGTCCGTGAGGTGAGTGGGTCGTGAGGTGAGGGGGGCCCGTGAGGTGAGTGGGTCGTGAGGTGAGGGGGGTCGTGAGGTGAGTGGGTCGTGAGGTGAGGGGGGTCCGTGAGGTGAGTGGGTCGTGAGGTGAGGGGGGTCCGTGAGGTGAGGGGGTCGTGAGGTGAGGGGGGCCCGTGAGGTGACGGGGGCCCGTGAGTTTAGGGGGGCCCGTGAGGTGAGGGGGGCCCGTGAGGTGAGGGGGTCGTGAGGTGAGGGGGTCGTGAGGTGAGGGGGGCCCGTGAGGTGAGGGGGGTCGTGAGGTGAGGGGGGCCCGTGAGGTGAGGGGGGTCCGTGAGGTGAGGGGGGTCGTGAGGTGAGGGGGTTCGTGCTGTGAGGGGGGCCCGTGAGGTGAGGGGGGCCCGTGAGGTGTTGGGAGTTCGTATCATTGACTGTTGCTTTAGTCGTGTATCCAGCTTAGAGAGATCTCCCCCCCACCTCCACGTTTATGTAAACGCTTAATTTGGCGAGGTTATAAACACAGTACAGGATTTATGGTAAATTACGCAATTTTCTAATCAGATGTACATTTATTCATAACAGTTAAACATTTTATTTGCATGAGCGCACCGTCAATATCTCTGCACAGCTCAAATCTGTCGGCTGCATTGCGGAACATTTTGTAGCATCTGTGGAGTTATTTTTGTAACTGCATGTCGCTTTATGATCTGTAACTCTTGTTTGATATACCTCTGACTTGATAAAGTCCCATGCAAAGAAATCCAAATGCAAAAAATCCCGAGATTCAGCTGTCCAGGGCCAATCCAGCGATTTCGAACACGTTCATTCAACTTCTTGGTTCTTTCGGTAAAGTCACGTGGTAGGGAAGTAATAAAATAATAAAAAATAAAACATAATAAAACAATTCTCACGACGTTTTGGCCACAAAGCAAGCAGCCGTCCTCAGGTGAAAACCAGGTCTGTCGAGGCGACAGCGTCTGAATGAAACAGCACACGTGCTTGGAGCATATATATAAGCTGGGAAGAGGGGAAAAGTGCGCCTTGACAAAAGAATATGCATAAAAGAATATGCATATTCTTTTGTTAAGGCGCACTTTTCCCCTCTTCCAACCCAGCTTATATATATGCTCCAAGCACGTGTGCTGTTTCATTCAGACGCTGTCGCCTCGACAGACCTGGTTTTCACCTGAGGACGGCTGCTTGCGTTGTGGCCGAAACGTCGTGAGAATTGTTTTATTATGTTTTATTTTTATTATTTTATTACTTCCCTTCCACGTGACTTTACCGAAAGAACGTTCATTCAAGTCCTCCAGAACGATGTTTCGCGCAATATTAATAGGGTCCCAAAAAATGAATATATACAGATATTCCCCGATTAAAGCGAGTCCGTTTGGCACGAATCCGTGTTTGCACGACTTACAATAGCATAGGGCAAGACTCCGGTTAACGGGCTCGACTTATCACGATTTTAGTGGAATTTTTAAGAATTGTCCGGAACCCAAGCGTGAAGCAACGCGTGTGTCGCGGGCGGCAGCAGCAGCAGCGAGCCACCTCGTTCTGCCTCACACTGGCTCAGATGTGTGCGCCTTTTAAACTCACCATTTTATACCTCTTCTTTTAATATTCTAAATAGTGTGTTCATAATGAGAAGCGTCGTGGTGATGCTTCTAGTTGGTAGTGAAGATGTAGGGGTGTTAGGGGAAGGATTCCCACCAGTAGGAGGGGGAGTGGGACGGGGACAGAAGGGGGAGGAGCAGGGGAGGAGATATAAGGGAGAGAACGGGCGGGAAGAGGGGGTCGTTGGCGGGAATAAGATTGGGACGGCTGGGGATAGGTGTGGATGGGAGGAAAGGAATAAAAGACGAACCCCCTACAACCTTGTGTCGACTCTCCTTTACATCTGGTGGCAGCGGTGGGATCTACAATGGCTATGAGGAAGAATCCCTGCGGAAGAGAGCCAACAGAAGAGGAAGCAGGGGCCGGGGATCCTCCACATCCAGGGCAACAAGAGGGCCCGCTACCAGGAGCAGCAGCAGGGGGCCTGGGGCCCATGGAGGACTCCATGGAGGACCGCATGGCCCGCGTGGATAGGGCACTCCAGGGGCTACTGTGGCGGCTCCCTATGGGGGGCCCACCAGCACCGGGACCCCCTCTCCCACACATACTACGGGAGGAGGTGCCACGGGACCCGGAGGCCGACCAGCCAGCCGGGCAGGAGCCGCAACCGGCCTTGTTACGCCAGCCGCCGCTGCCGCTCCCGCCAAAACCGCCAGGGCTAAACACCCAACGCGGGGAGCAGGTGGCAGGACGGGCGCGCCGGCTGGGGCCCGTCGAAACTTTTGTGGCCGAGGGAGGGGATTGGGAGGCGTTTGTCTGCTGATTCGAGGCTGCCTTCCATGCTCTCGAGTGGTCGGACGAAGAGGCGCTACGAGAGTTGCCATCCGTTCTGGACGACGATGCGCTCGCCTCTTACACCTCCCTTCCCACGTACAGCAAGACCACGCTACAGGCGGCCCACAAGGCTTTGGGGGAGATCTACTGTCCAGCTGAGAGCACCTGTAGATGGTTCCAGGACCGCCAGCGGGGGGCTAGAGAGTCCCCTTTAGCCTACAGGGGTGCCCTGCTCGTATTAGCGAGGAGGGCTTTCCCTCGCCTGGCTGACGAGGCGCTCGAGAACCTCGTGGTCGAGCACCTCATCGCCTATGCTTGCCGCGCCGGCGTTGTAATGCCGGTGGTGACGACGGAGGAATGCACCTCGCTGTGGGCCGCCCGGATCCTCCAAGCCCATGAACAGGTCATGGGCCGGGCGCTACCCGTGGGCCAGGTGGCTGGCGCGGCAGGGGGGAGCAGTCGAGCCGTTGCCGCGGCAATACTGGGACCAGCGACGCCAACCGCCGAACCTGCACCGTCGCCGTTGGCCTGCCTATGTGGCAGCTGGGAACAGATCTCCGGCGTCTGAGCCGGAGCCATCGCTGCGGGAGGTCTACGCGGCGATCTGGGGGCTGGCGGAGCAGAAACGCCAGGGGCTGCGACCAGCCGCCGCGCTGCTGGCACCTGCCTCTACAACACCGCGCCGAGCCACCCCGACGAAACGCCTCGTAGGGTCTGCCACCGTTGTGGTCGAGAGGGGCATGTGGCGAGGGGGTGCCGCACGGAGCCGGAGGCAGCCAACGCCACCTGGAACCCGCCGGGGCCGAACGCCGTCAGGAACCAGGCGAGTGACGCCAGTCCCGCCCGGCCTGTCGGTCGGGCCGGAAAAATACACTCCCGACGCCGCGACCTCACTGGGGGCCTCCTCGGGGTGGGCGCCGTCGGTGTCGGGCCCCGGGCTCCACCGTCCTGGTCGGGGGAAGGGGACCGCGCCAGGGCCGGGGACCGCGCCGGGCCCGAGGATCGCGCCGGGGCTGGGGACCCTGCCGGGGATTGTGCCGGGGCCAGGGATCACGCAGGGGATCGCGCCGGGGATTGCGCCGGGAATCGCGCCGGGGATCGCGCCGGGGATCGCGCCGGGGATCGCGTCGGGGATCGCGTCGGGGATCGCGCCGGGGATCGCGCCGGGGATCGCGCCGGGGATCGCGCCGGGGATCGCGCCGGGGATCGCGCGGGGGCCGGGGACTGCGCCGGGGATCGCGCTGGGGCCCGCGCCGGGGACCGTGCCGGGGACCGTGCCGGGAATCGCGCTGGGGCCGGGGACTGCGCCGGGGTTCGCAGCGGGGCTGGGGACCGCGCCAGGGATCGTGCCGGGGCCGGGGACCGTGCCGGGGATCGCGACGGGGCCTGCGATCGAGTCGCGGCCGGATGTGACGTCGCAGACCGACGTGACGTCGCGGCCGGAAGTGGCGTCGCGGACGGACGTGACGTCACGTCCGTAAAAGCCCTCGCGGCCAGAAGTGACGTTGCGGCCGGGGGTGACGTCGCGGCCGCGGGTGATGTCACTGTTTACCTGCGACGCCGGCGAGTTGCCAGGGGCAATGGCCCTGTGGCTGAGGCAGCACACACAAGCGCTGTGAAGCAGGACCAGGGGGACCACACCATAAAGGGGGCCCCACGCCCCCGCAATAAAGGAAGGGGAAGGGAGAAGGGATGTGCTCATGGGAAGGCCCACCCCTCAATCCCCACTTCCCACTACAATAGGGGGGACCGCCTCCACACCACTAGGGGGGCCCATCCTACGTCACAAAGGGGGGGCAATTTGCACCACATGGGGAGCTCAGCCCACACCCCAGGGGGGAGCCCACACCACGTAACAAGGGCACATTCACCCTGCTGCGACACACTCCAAAATGGGGAACCCCATCTTCGGCCCGTTCACATCCATTCCCCGTCATCTCGCCATGCACTGCAGGATAGTGAGCCGCCGCCTGGTCAGTAGCCGGACTTACACACTACCGCCAGCTGCTGCACCTGGCGGGGCGGAAGACACTGTGCACATTACAGGGTCGGTACTTTTGGCCAGGAATGACCGCTGACGTGCACCGATGGGTCGCTACCTGCGTCGAATGCGCGCGGCGGAAGCCACCACCCCGGGTAAGCCGGGCGCCCCTGCAGCCCATCACGGTGACCAGGGTCAACGAATTGGTTGCGTTGGACATCCTGGGACCACTGCCGGTCACGCCACGGGGAAATAAATACCTGTTGGTTGGTGTCGAGTATTGCATGAGGTGGCCAATGGCGTGGGCCCTCCCGGACCAAATGGCACAGACCATCGCCTATGTCTTCGTGGGGGGCTATGTTCTCGATAAGGGGGCACCGGAGCGGTTGCCCACGGATCAAGGCAGGAATTTCTCCTCACAACTATTGAAGGATGTCTGCTCTATCCTGGGCACTAATAAGGTTCGAACATCTCCATATCATCCCCAGACCGATGGGATGGTGGAGCGGCTTAACCGCACAATAGCGGCCATGCTGTCCCAAGTGGTGGACGAAAACCACTCCGACTGGGACCTCCACTTTCCATCGGTCTTAGCGGCGTACAGGGTGGCTCCGCACGCGGCAACGGGGTTCTCGCCGTTTTTCCTGATGTATGGACGGGATCCCGTTTCGCCTATTGAGGTGCAGCTGACGGACATTCCCGCGAGAGCCGACGCGTGGCCAAAGGCACTAAAGGCCTCCCTAATTTATTTGAGAGATGCCCGCCAAGCAGCCGAGGTCGCATCGGCCACTAGCCAAGGGAGCAATGTATGGATACGGGAGAGGACAGTGACAGCCAAGCCCTTTAAAGTCGAGGACCAGGCATGGCTACACTGTCCTCAGGTGCCCGTCGGCCTCTCACCGAAGCTGCACCGACCCTGGAAAGGGCCGGTCAAGGTCATTAAAGCACTCCGACCGCAGTGCGTCCAGGTCCAACTGGGTAAGCGACGATGGTGTGTGCACCCCACCCGCCTTAAGCCATACATCTCTCCACCATCATCACCGCCATCATCACCGCCATCATCATCACCCCTACCCAGGCCAAGGTCGCCGACCACCACTCGCCGACCAGCAGGGGGTTCAGTTCCCTGTGCTCCCTTGTCACCTACAGCGCCCCATGTGAGGTCTGATGGAGAGGCGGCACTGACCGGGGGTTGCGGGGGTTGGAGAGACAGCGGTACCAGACAAGGCGACACCGGCGCCACCGAACCGGGGACCGTGACGAGAGGGCCTCCAAAGGAGGGGGCCGCCGCGGTCATCTGCTGCCTGTGGATGTCCGGGCTGTTACAGGACTCTGGCTGGAGACCCGGGCAGACCGTTCAATTGATTTTGTTGCGTTATATTGAATTGTATGGTTGTGGGGGGTTAAGGGCGGTCGTCACTGTCAGTGGGGGGAGGCTCATGGGGAGACTTAAATGGTCTATGAGGTAGGCAGAACCGAGGACTTTTTTTTTCCTCAGGGGGGAAGGGGGGGTGATGTAGGGGTGTCAGGGGAAGGATTCCCACCAATAGGAGGGGGAGTGGGACGGTGACAGGAGAAGGGAGAGGAGCAGGTGATGAGATATAAGGGAGAGAATGGACGGGAAGAGGGGGTCGATGGCAGGAACGAGATTGGGACGGCTGGGGACAGGTGTGGATAGGAGGAAAAGAATAAAAGACGAACCCCCTGCAACCTTGTGTCGGCTCTCCTTTACAAAAGAGCAAGTGGTAACAGCAACAACTTAATGTGCTTAAACGCGATGAGAACAGTAAGTGCACATGTGATGTTGTTCGTGCAACTGGCTTGCATGAAGGTACACTGCGAACCATCTGACAGTAAATTAAAGCAAGTTGTGATAGTGCGACTCCTACTTGGCATTATAAATGTGTCTATTAATGCACAAAAGTGTTAGAATGTGTGAAAAGTGTAAAAATTCGTATCAGTGAATTACACCCCTTCTGCACTCCGTTAACCATTCCTACGTTTCCTCTTTACATTCCACCCATCACATCTCACATGTGCAGACTACAGTATTCTTTACTTTCCATTACTTTTATCATTGTTTATTTTCTTTGTTAATGTTATGCATGAAATATACATAAAAAGGCAACAATAAATAGCATTAACTAAAATTGTCCACATACATGAGTAATAATGATAAATGTAATGATCGAGTTGGGGGCTTGGAAGGCAACCCCCCCTTATTTACATTACTAGAATTTTGGCGGATGGCTGCCGCCTTATTCTAGCACCTGCAGAGGTCTTTTCCGTGCCCAGCCTGTCACCTAAACTGATGTGTTTCTACAAAATACATCTTTTTTGGTGGGGTGTGTGAAACATTTTTAGGGGGGTCGACAATTGTTGTAAATCTGTTGAATCAGTTTTTTCCTCCCACATCAGGGCGGGGGGGGGGGGGTCCACTTTCTATAACGTTTTGATTCAGGCCTCCTGAAAGGCTCATAATAAACGTTTTTGGGTTAGATCGCGTTATTTATAAATGTGTCGTAACCCTCCACCACTCGACACGGCCAATTAGTAAAAAAGTGTCACGTTGACATAAGATAAATAGTCCACTACTTTAGCCCACTGGTGTGTTGAAGAGTGAATCCACTACATTTACAATTTTTGAGTACGAAGTTTCGCTGGTAATTACATCCAGCATCATCAGGCAAAATGGTGAAGCCCTCCACTTGCTCCCGGTCTTAAATAGAGCAGCACGGTGACGTCATCTTTTAAGTCATTCAGCTGCAGTGATTTGAGGCGGGGGGGGGTTATTGTAATTATATAATAGGTTAGTAATGAATCAATTGTTATGATTAGTAATGAGTTGTAGATTAGTAATTAGTTGTAATGTGTATTACTAAAGTAGTGAACTATTTGTCTTTTGTCAACGTGACACTTTTTTACTGATTGGCCGTGTCGGGTGGTGGAGGGTATGACACGTTTATAAATAACGCGATCTAACCCAAAAACTTTTATTATGAATATTATGACGTCCTCATATTACTTTAGCAAGGTCTTTCAGTTCCAGGCAGCTGTAACAAAAAACAAACCCACACATTTGTGCTAAATTGCATTACACTAACATGTAAAGTGACATTAAATGTAGATTAAATGGTGGAGACAGATGGCCTGAGAACAGCATCATAACTAGGTAAATAACGACAGCTTAAACTAAGGGTAAATACACGTACATCGGAACATATTAATGGAGATTAAATGAGAATAGAGTAGACATGAGTAGCCATTTTAGTACAATTATTGCAAGTGAAATGGAGACGAAGATAAATTAAAAGCATACAGACAAGATATGAGAACAACAATAATTTGAGATTGAACGAGGCGAGAGAGACTTGTTTCGTAGCAATAAAAACACTGTGGAGTGGAAAAAAGGCAGCAACAATATGAGTACAGATGAATCTCACGTGGTGTGTGGGATTGTTCTTTATATATTATACTCATATTGTAACTGTATATACTGCACTATATCCTTATACAGTATTTGCTTATCATTTCTTTAGGATAACAAGTAAAAAGCACAAAATGTCGCTGGATCAAGAATTTATGCTATGCAATATAAAGACGTGTCGCAGTAAGATTTCAGGTTTTGCATGGGTAACATCCTGTTCACATATATTTTGTGATGAAGATGGAGCTAAAGAGTTTAATAAATCTTTAACATGTCCAGCGTGCAATACTGATGTTTCTGGAAAGTATGATATTGTTCGCCATGAAGTTGATCCTCCTGAAGAATACAAATCCATGGTTCTCTCTGGGTTAAGACCAGATATAATACTTGAAATATGTTCACGAGCTATGTCGTTTTGGACTTCTCAGGTAAACAAAAAACCCTTAATATTTACATGAATATTCCCATGAATATTTAGAAAATATGTGTTTAATTATATAAATGTTATAATCATATACATGTTCATACCTTACAGGTCCATCAAGAACTTTTATTTCAGGAACATGTCAACAGCAAAGCAAAAACCCGGATGTCACAGGTTTTAAAGCACTACAAACAACAGATTCAGGATATGACCATGGAGATTTCCAATTTAATACAGGCGATATCTATTGTGAAGAAGAAACAAAAAACGTATAAAGCACACTACATTGAAGCATCTGAGATGTTACTGAAGAAAAACAAGCAGCATCAGAAGCTGCATTATATGTGTGAACAACAGCGCCGACACATTTGGACTCTTGCTAACAAGCAGAAGATTGCGGTCAGTGAACTATCTGAGGAATGTATTTAATCCTTTTAACTGCCATTATGTAGGCTATTGAACTTGTGGTATGATTCAGAATATATTTCTCTGCAGGTTAAGGGTGGAGAAAGGCAGAGTGATGGATCCCGAAATTGTTGGGGCATGTCTTGTGAAATGTAATCAACAGATTGCTCTCGGAGAATTAGCGTAAGCTTTTAAGGGCTGGATGCCAGGTGTGTTTAGGTGACCAAGGAATTTGAGTCTAGGTTGTCAAAGACCAACAGTGGAAAATCATTGGCAAGCATGCTAGGGTGAGCCATGTATAGTCTCCATAATATCTCACTGCTGAGGCCCAAGAGATTACTACGTGTGATCAGTGTGCATTCGTGACGGACGGGACTAATAAGAGTGAGTGAGAACAAATGTTCAGACTTAATGCTTTTATGAGCAGCTAAAACTATAGGATAGTAAATACATTATCAGATCTAATTAATTAGCATACACAGCAGGACTCTAAAAATCCAGCTGCAATAATCCGCAAATTCCACTAATTTTCGAATTATGCACTTTTGTGACTCATCCAGAAATCCACAAACATTTGTAGATTCTGGATCTCTTCCAGGAGGGACTAATACTGCCCATAATCCACATCACACCGTATCGGTGCCGTTTGTGATTTATATTGTATTTAAAATAGATATCTAAAAAAATGTAAGTGCTCTGCATCACAAAGAGGATGCCAGCTTCCTTGCAATACGAATTATATTATTTGTGAATTTCTTTTTTATCAGTTGAGGCTGCTGGCTTTGCAATGCAAATATTTGTTTTACCATTGCAAGTCGTTGTTGTCCTCAAACAAAATTCTAATTTCATTATGAATTTAAAGTTGTTTTGCTTTTACATTGCAAATTCGAATATGTTATGAATTATATTCTTTGATACGGTAATGTGTTCAGAAGCTAAATGGCAGTGTCAAGGGCTACGAGCCACAAGAGGGTTCGTTTGTGTAGTTGCTATTCCTCCGTTGAAAGAGTGCAGACTATAGTAGTTTACTAGATGGTCCATAGTTTGAGTTGCATGGCCACAATCACACTGTTAATGTTCTGATGCGGTTGATGGTACATCAGTGTCTTTGATTCATATCAAAAGCAGGAGATGCAATGTTTGGGTCTCAAATTAGGTGTTTATTCTAGATGTCCGCGTTCAATTCTGTTCACCCGGATTTTTCCAGATCTGGGTGAGATTCTAGAATGACCAAAGTATGATCCCAAAACGGAGATCGGCACTTGAATCGGCAGCAAAGTACATTGTTGAGGTCTTGGTTGATAGAGGGGTTGTCGTTGGCAGGACATTTGTTGACATTTCCTTACAGTTTGCATGTCTGTGCTGATATTTGGTGGCAGGATGTCTGCCAGACCAGGAAGCCAGGGGATTGGTGTTCGTTTCAGTATTTCGATTATGATGCCTATTACATTACGTAATTGTGCATCTGGCAGTTTTGTCTTTGAGCTCCTGGACCAGACTCGAGCACAATACTCTGCTACTGAGTAGACAAGTGATAGGGTGGCAGTTTACAGCACCTCATTGAGCTGCCTCAGATCATTCCAGCAATGTTTTATATCAGGGCAATTGTTGATATGGTCTCTTCACAGATCTGCTTTATTTAGGGCTTGAAGGTTTGGCTTTTATCTGTGATAACCCATAGATGTCTTGGAATGGGGTCATAACGCACTGGGCTACTACAGACGGACACATAAAATATATTGGCGGCATGATTGTTTAGGTGGAAAGCATTTGTGGTTTTGGAGGGATCTGGTCGGAGTCTCCTGCTACGGAAATATGCCTGCAATAATATATTAGCTGTTAGAGTACTGACATTGTTCTCGAGGTTTGTGCCCTGCACAGCAACGGCCATGTCTTCTACATATATGCACTTGTGAGATGATGTACATGAGCAAGTTGCTTACATATACGTTAAAATAGTGCTTGTTCTGGTACCAATCCTTGAGATAGGTCATAACTTTCAGAGCTGCAGAGAAGTAGGTCAAAAGTATTGCATTTATAATGTTTATGCATTAGCACAGACTAGCTGTCCTCACATTTGTATGATAGAATATAATTTAGATTTTTTTTTAGACTTCATATGCAGCTGCAGCAGTGGGTGAGGCTAATGCAGAGCTGCAGGAATGGAGCTTCAAGAGTTTGCTGTTTAGTTTTTCTTTGTGCATTTGTACAGACTAGCTGTTAGTCGGCACAGACTGGCTGTGCTGACGTGAATGTTTAGTATAAAGAGCTAAAATATTATTTAGCGTTGACCCATATTACAGATTTGTACCATTTGGATCTAAGAAGAACTCGTAACCTTGTTATCCTTTGCAGATTGATTTAGTCACATGTCACACTTTTCCTTTCATCCACAAATTCTGTTGCATATTAATTGTCGCATGGCTAATTCATCTCAATTCGTGGCAAATCGCATTGGCACAAACACACGGATTACAGGACAAACCTCCATGGTACGTCACGGGTTACGGGATTCGTGATATGGTCCTCCCATGTTGTGTGGATTATTGGAGTTCTGTACTAATAATCATTCGCTCTGATGCATTTGAGTAATTTTCTTTATAATCTATATATATGTAGTGGATTAACGTGCGCCGAGAGGGGAAATTGGAAACACGTGTGGGTTATGGACAGTGGGGTCGCATCAGGGCAAACAGGTGTTGCTGGGAGGATAATGGCCGGAGAGAGACGGTTCGTTTGGTGGTTATGGGATGCAGGGCAGTGATTGGCCGGTTGTTGTCAGGGGCGAGGTGGCGCCAGCAAGTCTGGGGATGGGAGCAGGTGGCAGCGGGGGCCGCGGGCGCAGGGCGTCGGTGGGGACGCCGGTTAATTAATTGGTAATTAATGAGGACGGGGATATATACGGGAGCGTGAGAGAGGGACGGGGAGTTGTTGCTGGGAGCTGGATGGAGACAGTCGGGGAGAAGAAGATATGAGAGATAGAATAGGCTAGCAGTGGAACGGGAACAGAGGAGATATGAGAGATAGGATAGGCTAGCAGTGGAACAGGAACAGCGAAGATATGAGAGAGACAGTCGGAGTGAGACGGAGACGCCGAGAGAGAGAGTGAGACGGAGACGCCGAGAGCGAGACAGTCAAAGCAAAGACAGGCGAAGCAGAGAGGAGAGTCGGGGAGAGGGAGGGAACGGAGCGAGTGAGGCGAGCGGAGCGCGGCAAGCGAGCAGAGAACGCGCTGAAGTCACGGTTGTGGAATGTAAAGAGTTTGTAATAAATAGTGATGACGGAAAAAGAAGTTGTTTGTGTAAAGTTCAGCACTACATATATAAAAGGGAAATTTGTGAATATGTGTGTCTGTTCAAAATGTTTAGCATACTTCCCGACATGCAACAAACTTGCAAATTTGGCATGTGGGTACTTTCCAGACTGTAAACATTAGAAAAATAGACTTTTGTATTTGGGGGGGGGTGGGGCACAATAATGGATATATTTTGCACGGCAAGTGAGCGGTAACGTCACATCTTGATGTCACCCACATGCGGTAGCGTCACGCAGTGTGCCTGCTGACGTCACGCCCCCCCCCCCTCCAACCCTCCGCATAGGCGGGTATCCGGCACAAATGCGCGGCATAGCTGTCTCGATTTTCTAATTCAACGCGACTATTTTCAGTTCGCTCTTAAATATAAAGCAGAAAATGCATCTGTGTGAATCAGCAAAAACTATCGAACGCTGACCTCTGACGTCATGAGATTTGAACAAGGTCACACGAATTATCAGCTCGCCACGTCATTCCCTTCCCGAGTTGCCTGCTTAAGGTTCCATTTCCTTGAGTGAAAAACATCCGATTTAGTTCAATTGGTTTGTTTCGGATTTTTTTCTTTCTTGCAAGCATCAATTTCTTTCAGGGGTTTCTACTCAAATATAAGGGAATATGAAATTAATCCAAGACAAGAATACAGGTCCTGGGCGAAGCCGGGTAGTAAAGCTAGTGTATTCTATTAGAAGATACTTGGATCTGATTGGTTGTTCTCTGTGATGTCATGGCCCCTATTTAACGAAGCTTGTTCAGGTGATGTTCTTAATATCGTGTTCTGGGTTCCCTGATGTTTGTGTATTTCCAAAAGAAAAGCTGTCTCTTGATAAATGTGGTTGTGAGAATTGCGCTTCAACTTGCCGGTGAGCTGAAATAATTATTGGTGCATTCGAATGCTTATACAGGTGACAATTGAATGTTTTAGCTATGTCAGGTCGGTGGAGGGATTCATGACACATTTGGTTCGAATCATATTCGAGGTCAGTTTGAAATAGTTTGGAATTAGAATCTGCAAGGCTTTGATACGTATTTTTGTGCAGGTTTTTGAAGTAGCATTTTATCAGTTTGGTAACAAAAAATTGGAACACGTAGGTGATTTTTCTTGTAAACATTTCCTGCACTTTAAAAAAGTACAAATGAAGTTAAATACTATGAAAACAAATAATCCAGTAAAACTCCTCGGATATACAGTACATAGAGCCAGGGGCACGAATTTACATATAAGCACAATTGTGGATGAAAGGAATGGAATCCTATTTGTGTAAATAACCTATCTGCAAAAATAATGTCTAACAATAAATAATAGCATAAATGTTTCTCTTATCTATGAAAATGTATAATATGAAGATGTAACTGTCCATGTTATCCAAAGTTCTTAAAGCCACATGTAACATAAACATAACAGTGCTTCTCCAGCATTTTTTGCAATTGCATAGTTTTTTTTTATCTACCAGGAAAGTTTTGCAAAGCATTTATTGTACAATAGCCACATCACACATACTGCACACAACCTTCCTGAGGTATGCACATCTTTACACGCAGGGAGTCGAATGGCAACCAGAAGTGTGAACCATAACCCTAACTCAATACAGTGATACCTCGGTTCACGAACTTAATTCGTGAACTGACTCTGGTCGCGAACCGAATTGGTCGTGAACCGAGGCACATTTTCCCATAGGGTTCAATGTAAATCCGGTTAATCCGTTCTGACCTTTTTTTTTGGTTTTTGAAGCACAAAAATATGAAACAAATTACAATACACATTAGTACTGTACAGTATAGTAATGTATAAAGAGAGAACACTAACCTTGCTTGAGATGACTTCAGTAAGCACTCAAACGGGTGAACTGTACAATACAGTAAGTACAGTATTGTACAGTACAGTACTGTATGTGCTAAAAAGCACACCAAAAAGCAAAAAGTCACTGAAAGTGTCTTCACAGTACTCACAGTACTTCTTTCTGTGTCTCTTCTTCTCTCCACGATCTTCCTACAGGAAGTCACGACCATGTGACAGCCTGGAAATAGTATTACAATGGCCGCGGCTCCTGTTCGTGAACCGAAGCGGAGTTCGTGAACCGGAGCATATTTTTATGAACTTTTCTGTTCGTGAACTGAGTTGTTCGTGAACAGAAGCGTTCGTGAACCGAGGTATCACTGTAATCGTTAAAATGTTTTCCGTAATGTTTTCTTTTTGGTTTAGACCGCGTAAATATATTAACGTGTCGTTAAAACCCGCCACCACCCGACACAGCCAACTAGTAAGGGTTTTTACGTAAACAGAACGTGGCCAATTCGTCACTAGTATAGTACACCGGTGTGTTGGAGAGCCAAGCCACAACATTTACAATCTGAGTACGAAGTTTCGCCAGTAATTACAACTAGCTTCATCAGGCGACAGACAGATTTGTGTAGAAATCCTCCTGTTTCGTTACTCGAATAGAGGAATAGATGTGATGACGTCAAATATGAGCCCTTCACGTGCGAAGGTGGGGATTACCGAATGCATATAAATTACAATGGGTATCCATTGCTGGTTGAGTTATTCGTGATAGTCAAGATACATTTTGCATGCACTTTATGCATGCACATTGTACGTCTACCTCCTGTCGTTTGCGTGCAATAAAATAGCAGTACCTTTTATTGTCTGCGTACAGGTAACCCCCATTGATGTATGGTGACCTGTATCGGCATGCATTTAAACAAAGTATTATTTGATGATTCGCTTCCAAGCAGCACTCAGCCTGTAGCTATCCGAACGGTTAAAATTATTTTTATTTCTCTGAATTTCGATAGATTCTCAATTTTTATATATTTGGCATGGTACATAAAATACAAAAACTAATCTGGTACTAAATATGTATTACCGAAGCTATCAACAGAAAATGTTTACCGGATGAATTGCCTTTGTGGCAAATACTTTGTTGGGCAGACTGATCAGCCCGAGACGAAAAGAACACCAAGTAAATATTAAATACTCCCAAATACAACTGTCGGCAGTGGCAGAACACGCGTGCCAACAAGGACACTCAATTGATTTAGATACTGTTGAAGTTCTGTGCAATACTAGTTACTACCGCTGTTTTTTCCGGATTTTTTTGTTGCGCATAGTCACTTTAAGATGTTCTTTGTTCATGTGTTTTTGTTGTTGCGGTTGCACCCGAGTCAAGAGCCGCATGGCTCACATGGCTATACCTAATAGATGAAACTGAAAAAACTGAAATTAGCCAAGACTAATTAGAGAATCTATCGAAATTTTGATAAATAAAAAGAATGTTAAACATTTGGATAGCTACAGACTTAATCCTGCATGGAAGCGAATCATCATTTTAATACATCATTTAAATGCATTCCTATACAGGTACAAGAACAAAGTCCATGCATAATGAACGCTGATTACCATATTCATAACCCAACTGGCAATGGATACCCATTGTAATTTATATGCATTCATTAATCCCCCCCTCGCACGTGCAGGGCTCACAAGTGACATAATCACATCTATCCCTCTATTTAAGGAACGAAACAGGAGGCTTTCTCCACAAATTTGGCTGTTGTCTGATGAAGCTAGTTGTAATTACTGGTGAAACGTCGTACTCAGATTGTAAATGTTGTGCATTTCCTCTCCAACACACCGGTGTGCTGTACGAGTAACGAATTGCCAGTTTCTGTTTACGTGACAAACCTTACTAATTAGCTGTGTTGAGTGGTAGCGGGTTTATCGACAAATTTCAATTTATGCGATCAAACCCCAAAAAAACCTATGTTATGGATGAATCCTATATGAATACAATTTTTACGTTAAAATGTGTTGCTATTAGGGACTTACCCTAGTGAAAACCGGCCAAATTGATCAAAGGGTTGCTCAAGCTTGTCAATACATTGCTAAATTGATTTCCAACAAAGGTGATGAAATCATTATGTATGCCATACATGATGCTGCCTTTAAGCGCGTCGTCATGTCAAGAGCACATGCCACGTGCACCTTCCTTATCCTGATGTCATTACATGTGACATTATATCATTGTGTGGCTTGGAACAAAATCTTGTTCCTGCCAATTAAATACTTGTGAGGACAAACGCATGTTGGAAAGCATTACAGGATCCTTGCATGTTCAACATTTTTATTTTGTACTTGCTCGTATACTCTTAAGTACTGCAAATAGTAGTTTAATTACTGGTTACGTGATATAATACACAATTCTCAGATAACCAAATATGTTTTACATGTGTTTTGTGAATATTGCAGAGACAACATTCTGAGGAAAAGACAAGTATCCCACCAGTCGGGAGAGGAGATGCGACCAATTTAAAACACTGCTGTTCACACAATGCAATATGCTGATCCATTGCAACCAGAGAAACCTTATGGTTCTAGAAAATAATATGAATTCTCAATATTTCAACAAAATAAAAATACAAAGACTACACATGTAATGTATATGTATGTATCATTTGTTACTCCTCAATAGGTTATTTATATTCCTATGTAATGAACCTGGAAAAGCCAAGTTTGTATCACTATATTTATCATTGTTTTGGTAGTAAAGTTTAACTTTATATTTATAGTGTCAGTTTCCCGCAAACTAGATGTATTAATACAAAAATAATCAGCCATGAAGACATTTTCCAAGCTGTCCCCATCTTCCATGGTCCTGCAAATGAGCTTTTCAGGCATCTATTCTTCCTTAACTCGCATTACAAAGGAGTCTCGACCACTAGCCATCAACCCTTCTCGCAACATTTTATGCCCAAATCCACTTTTAGAATCAGAATATCCTGGAGGAATCCGATGAGCTATACAGCTCTTTTTCACAGGTCAGCGAGTTTTGTTCAATGTGTTGTTTTTGTCTCTATGATACCATGTATGCTGCTTCGTGGACTATTCAGCGTTGTTACATTTTCTTCATTAATGTTCATGTTTTCCTATCCATAAGTCGTAGCACTAATTAAAAACCGTTTGACAAATCTCCCGTCTGCTCTTGACTTCTGCATCTCTATATATTTTTTAAAATCTTGGTCCACATACAATCATTTTCCTTGGTATATAAAATGTAATGTCCTCAGTATACAAAATTAAATGCCAAATGTTTGCATACATTTTTTAGTAAATGTAAAATGTGCAGTGTTTTGATATTTGGTACAAATTTTAACGAAAATAAAAAAATGCATTGCAATATATATGAAATGCCGTATTACTAATTGGTAGCAGGGTTCATGTGTATTCTGTCAGCATTGTCAATATCCTCACGTTCCTGATAATTTAACCTCTTATAAACATGATATCATATATGGATTTAGCACCTTTCAAAACCTCCAGACAGTTTTCTAGGGTTAGGTGCAAAAACTAAAATATTTAAAAAAGTTCAATTATGTTTTTTCATCTGTTTTGATTATAAATATAGGCTTGAGTATACATTTGTAGAGGAGAGCAATACACGGTGCGCACAGTTAAGTGGGTGCAACGGAGGGCAAACAGGTGTGCGTGTTGCAACATATGCGGTTTGCACAGACAAACTGCCAGTAATTAAGGGGATAAGCGGGTGCAACTGAGGTCGAACAGGTGCTACGCTGTGACCGGAGGTTGCTGTCAAAGAGACGGTAGATGGGTGATTAATGGGCCAACAGGCACCGGCTTGGTGGCAGCTTGAGGAGCAGCACGAGAGGACTTGGAATGAGGGGGGGATATATAAGGAGAGTGTGCGTAAGCGGAGGGGAGTTGTTGCCGGGGAACCAAGAGTGAAGACGTCTCGTTGCTGCTGCTCCAGCCATCAACGGGACCTCAACCCTTACGCCATCGCCGGGCGGGTGTTGGCTGAACCGTCCGCCCGGGACAGACGGGTGAGCGGGTCTGAGGGAGCGTAGGTGAGGGCAGCGGTGGAGATGCAAAGTTTCTGAGTGCGAAGACGCTGTGTGCAGAGTTGCTGAGTGCGGAGACGCTGTGTGCAGAGTCGCTGAGTGCGAAGACGCTGTGTGCAGAGTCGCTGAGTGCGAAGACGCTGTTTGCGGAGTCGTTGAGTGCGAAGACACTGTGTGCAGAGTCGCTGAGTGCGAAGACACTGTGTGCAGAGTCGCTGAGTGCGAAGACGCTGTTTGCGGAGTCACTGCGAAGACACTGTGTGCAGAGTCGCTGAGTGCGAAGACGCTGTTTGCGGAGTCACTGAGTGCAAAGACGCTGTGTGCGGAGTCGCTGAGTGCGAAGACGCTGTGTGCAGAGTCGCTGAGTGCGAAGCTGCTGAGTGTGGAGTCGCTGGGAGCAGAGCTGCTGAGTGCAGGATAAGTGAGGTGCAGAATAGAGAAGAGCAGGGAGAAGTCAAGTATATGTGACCATACAGATAGTTATAGAAGTGTCGCAAGAACAGGTGAATAAAGTGTAAGCAGGTGACTTGTTACGTGTCGGTGTGAGTAATTTTTTAAAACACTGCACATTTGTACCCCAATTGTTTACTTTTCTATCACTTCTAGAACATCTTTGTAAAAGCTAGGCCTCTGGAAGTTGTATCTGGAGGCTTTTAAGGTTTCTGAATTGAAACATGACATTTGTGAAAACTACGTGTCAAGTTTACTTTTAGGAAGTGGCACTGAAGCCGAAATATGGTGGGCAAAGCCTCCCAAATGTTCCTAATATTAATGTGTTTACAAATGATGCTGTAAAAGGAAATCACTTACCTCAGCATCCCAGCTCCGAGTCAGTAATTAGTGAACTTGTTTCCTGCTGCTGTCTCGCCCGAAAATTTGTCTTCTCGCCTGCAATTTTCCCCTCTGCAATTTGGCTCTATCATCTGAAAGTTTGCCCTCTCGTCCGTGATATCGCCTTGTCTGACATTTCACTCCCTCTGAAATGCTGACCTCACGTACAAAATTTTGCCCTCTGCAATTTTGCCCTCCCGTGTAAAGTTTCAACCTCTCATACAAAATATCGCCCTCTCGTCCGAAATTTTAACCTCTAGCCCCAAAATGTTTGACCTCTCATTCAAAATATCACCCCGTCCGATATTTCGCCTTCTCCGAAATTTCACTCTCTTATCTAAATTTCCCTCTTTTTCCCGGAATTTGTATCGCTTCCAAAATGTCCCCCTCCGAAATGTCACCCTGTCCAAATGTCACCCTCTCGTCCGAAATTTCACCCTTGTCTAAATAGTCGCACTCTCATCTGCAATTTCGCTCTCTTCATCATCATCAATAGCACCAGAAAAAACATCACCAGTAGCATCAAAACCATCAGCAGCAGCAAGATCATCATCTACAGCAGCATCATCATCACCAGCATCAAGACCATCATCAGCAGCATCAACAGCAGGCCAACCTCCAGCGGCCATCTCTGACCCTGCAGGGGAACTGTGCGGGGGCCAGCGGCCTCCTGCCACCTTCCAGCAGCCTCCTGCTCCCCTCCATGGAGGCTGCACGGGCACCGGCGCACTCCTGCGACCTTCCAAGGGCCTTCTACGGCTCTCCAGGAGGACTCTGCATGCTCCAGCAAACACCTGCAGCCCTTCGGGGGAAGGGGGGGGGGCACCCGGGCACCAGCGGCCTCCTGCATGCCTCCAATGGGGCCGCGTGGGACCCAACATCCTCTTGCAGCTCTCACGAGGGCCCTAGCAGCCTTCCAGGGAGACTGTGCGGGCCTAATCGACCCCCTGCGACCCTGCAGCAGCCTCTTGCATCTCCGAGTGGGAAGCACTGGCCAGTGGTCTCCTGTGGCCCTTCAGCAACCCTCTTTTGGGGCCGCGTGGGCCCCAGCGGCCTACTGAATTCTTCCCTCTAGTGGCCTCTTGTGGCTATCCACGGGGGGCAGACGGGCCCCAGTGGCCTCTTACAACACTACTGAGGCTCACCCAGGGAGCCGTGCGGGCTCCAGCACCCTCCTGCAGCCCTCCACGGGGACTGATCGGGCGCCAGCAACCTTCTCTGGCCTTCCAGGGGGGTTGTGTGTGCCTCAGCGGCCTCCAGGAGTGCCCCAGCAGCCCGAGCAGCTTCTTGCAGCCCTCTATCTGCCTCTTGTGGCCATCTACTGGAGGCCATGCGAGATCCAGCGGCCTCTTGCGGCCCTCAGGCAGCTTCCTGCGGCCTTACAGGTGGGCTGTGCGGACCACAATGGCCTACTCCACCAATCCGGCGGGGGAGTGCGGGCCCCAGTGGTCTTATGCCGCCCTCCAGCGGCCTTCTGCAGCTATCTAGGGTGGCCGTGTGGGCCCGAATGGCCTTCTGTGGCCCTCCGGTGGGACCGCGCGGGCCCCAGCAGCCTCCTGCAGCCCTCCAGGAGGGCCACGTGGTCCCGAGCAGCCTACTGCGGTCCCACCAGGGCGGCTGCATGGACATCATACCAAAGCTTGGATCAAGGTTTCTCAACTTCGAATTGGTCTCGGGCATGCTCCATAGTCAATAAAACATGGCTGATGCAAGTATCTGATCAACGATTGTGGACTAAACATTTGCCGGTACCAAAACGTGGGTATATGATGACTCACTGGACAAAGCATGGGGCTGTACCGAATGGATATGCTATCGTACATCAGCACCATCGCGGGAAACCTGGCACCAATAACATGCATGGTGGTGGGATCGCAATGATTCAATGTGAAGTAATCTGCGTGAAGGTCCTGAGTGACTAATTAACAATCACGCCATTCGAGCTACTGCTTGTGAAAATAACAGCATACTGAGGCTTACGACCGCCGTCTTAACTGCTGTCAGAATTATTTTACGAGATTTCTAGGACTGCAAGACTGTGAGTAACTTGGCTCTTGCTACATCATCTGTGATGATCTGAACTGTCCCGGACCAACTTGTTCTTGTGGTAGAATCAACAATCACAACATGTCGCTCAGGAAATATACTGGATCGCATTCTCACATTTGCCGATGCCGTAACAGGTGACCAACACTAATAGGGTTTTTCCCCTTTTTTCTGGCAACAAAACTGACACCTTTTGCAAGGAATCATGTTTACATTAACCACAATACTTGCAGTCAAATGCAAACAAAAAACAATACTCTGGTAATTTATGCATTGTCTTTGAAACTGATTGGTTCACACCAGAGACAGCTTTCTGTGGAGCCTCGTCTCATATGGTGTTCGACCAGATGACGCCAAAAGGCACACAGTTCAAGACAACGCACTACCAGAGTAATGAGGGCTCGGGGTGAGCAGCTACATCATGGGACCTCTTTTGCCAGTACCAAAATACACTAATAGGGGTTTTCCCCTTTTTTCTGGCAACAAAACTGACACCTTTTGCAAGGAATCATGTTTACATTAACCACAATACTTGCAGTCAAATGCAAACAAAAAACAATACTCTGGTAATTTATGCATTGTCTTTGAAACTGATTGGTTCACACCAGAGACAGCTTTCTGTGGAGCCTCGTCTCATATGGTGTTCGACCAGATGACGCCAAAAGGCACACAGTTCAAGACAACGCACTACCAGAGTAATGAGGGCTCGGGGTGAGCAGCTACATCATGGGACCTCTTTTGCCAGTACCAAAATACACTAATAGGGGTTTTCCCCTTTTTTCTGGCAACAAAACTGACACCTTTTGCAAGGAATCATGTTTACATTAACCACAATACTTGCAGTCAAATGCAAACAAAAAACAATACTCTGGTAATTTATGCATTGTCTTTGAAACTGATTGGTCCACACCAGAGACAGCTTTCTGTGGAGCCTCATCTCATATGGTGTTCGACCAGATGACGCCAAAAGGCGCACAGTTCAAGACAACGCACTACCAGAGTAATGAGGGCTCGTGGTAAGTAGCTACATCATGGTGCTCCAAAGAAAGCTGTCTCTGGTGTGGACCAATCAGTTTCAAAGACAATGCTTAAATTACCAGAGTATTGTTTTTGTTTGCATTTGACTGCAAGTATTGTGGTTAATGTAAACATGATTCCTTGCAAAAGGTGTCAGTTTTGTTGCCAGAAAAAAGGGGAAAAAAACCTATTAGTGTAGTTTGGTACTGGCAAAAGAGGTCCCATGATGAGGTGACCAACATTATCGAAGACTTAGGTATTTCAGATCATAGTCTCGTGATGTCCAAAGTGGCATTACCAATTATTTGCCCATCCGTCACAACGATATTATACAGAGACCGGAAACGACTGGACCATGATGCTTTCCGTCATAAGATCCAGTCATCATCGGCGTGTCTAACTCCTGCATCGACAGTAGATTAATTTGCAGCTTAATTAGAAAATTACATGCCTGATGTTCTTCATGAACTCGTGTCCATCCGAACAAGCACAACGGTAATGGGGAAAGCGCGCTGCAACTGGCTGTTATTGGAGGTAATCACTGCGAAGCAGATGCACAGAAGGCTGAAGCGTCTTTGGAAGAAAACTCGTTTCGAGACTGTCCGACTCGCTTCCAGAGCCACCTACAGATCTGTCAACAGACTCATTATTGACGCTCACAGATCAATCTATGCTCTGCGCGTCAATGAGTCGGCTCGTGACCCCCGTGCTCTGTGGCTAGTCGTGAAGGGCCTGTTACACTCCAACCACCTATCAAACTAGTCAACGGGTTTCTGTGCACAGTACTTGTGACGTTATTCGCCAATAAAAAATATGAACGATCAAGACAGCAGTTTCTAACCAATGCAAAACTCTCGACCCTGACACCAGAGTCGGTGGCAGAGGTGTCGATGTTTATGATACAGCTGCGTCAATTTTCAAATATTGCTTGGACGTGCTTGCACCGCTGATTGTCCACCTGGCAAATATTTTGTTCAGTGACGGCTGTTTTTTCGGTAGTGATGAGGGCTCTGAGGTGGAAGTACCATCTTGCTAAAAATTGTAACAAGAAAAAACCTGCCATTTATCTAATATCATGTGTGTGTATATATACCCACATCATTTACAAATTGCTATTAACAATTACAATGTTTTCTTAGTTGTGATGAATACTTTTATTAGAATTACACAATACATAATTATATGTAATTATACAAACCTGCTCCATTCTATTGATTGGAATTTCAATTATACTTAGAAATTACTTTAAAAGAAATAGCACACATTTTCTATGGCTATCTTTCTTCTTGTAGCTCACCTCATGTTTGTGTCATGCAACTTTGTACCATGTCAGTATCATGTTAGAAATAGTTTAGTATCTGAGTACCGTATCTTAAAATCCCCACATATGGCCTTAAAATTACTTTTTATTTCCATAATATTTCATGGAAGATTTATTGCTGTTTGCTTTGTGGCTATCTTGAGAAATGTATTTCGAATTGCAACATTCAGGATTATATTCGGAATGAGATTCCATTGGAACAATATTTGATTAATCATCACCAACATTGGATTTTGGATCAAAAGCCTAATCTGAATTAGGGACATTTATTTGATCAATTGTATTTTTCTTGTCAGAATGCAAAGGGATTATAATAACATTGGCAGGGCTAATTTCACTTTTAAAATCACAGTTTAAGTTAGAGAGTGGAGAAACATCATTCAGTGGTTTTGAAGGAATGTCTTCATTGTGTTTGTGTGCCCCTGGGCCACTGCTGCTTTCGGAAGAACAACTTTTCTCTTCATCTGGGGTGACTCCAACATCAGCTTCTGCGTTTGATGAACAATCATTCATTTCGTGTTTCTGAAAATGTAATCATACAACATATTAAAACATGTTCTCAATTCCGAATAATACATTAAGGCATGTATGTAGAACTTCCTTCGCACCATACATAACCAACTGTGCTAATACAAAATATGCTTCGGTTCAGCATCTGTAAATTTCAATCCAATCCTGGTTGGAGCCCTCTTCACGCCACTGCCACCTCTAACGTTCTTGTGATGCAGCTATCCACCCAGCGCCTGTATGCAAAATTATTTAATCGCTCCATCTCCTTGGTGGAGGGAACTTTTCAGATATGTTCCATTCCTTGGCTGCCACTACATTATTATTCTTACCCATCATTCAGAATGCTTCTAAATGTGAAGCCATCCTGATCGAGATGAGTCTCACCATGTCCGTATTAATCCACTATTCATTTCTCAAACTGCATCAGTGTATTGGCTTCACTCTTGATTCCACAGTATCCTTCAATACGCACACGAATAACATATTTCAGCCTTGGAGCTACCACCTCAGGGCCCTCTGTCATGTACTCATCACCACCGAAATCATCAATGCCTGCAGGATAATCGGGTTTCGCCTCGACTATTGCAACTCATCCTTACTCGACCTTCAAGTAACGACATCAGTTGAAAAACCATATCACTCGTGTCATCCTCAGTGCCTGTCACTCTTGGCTAGATTCTGTCACCACCCTCCACTGGCTTCCCATCGCCAGCAGGGTTGGCTACAAAATATCCTGCTGCCTTTACCACCGCACCTCTAATTTCAGTCGCTCCTATCATCCTGTAACTACTGCTCACAGTAGAACGCTCTCTTGAAGTGTGACTCGCAACCTCTCCATATCAAGAACCGGGGCTGCATGGAAGTTGCTGCCATCTGGAACACTATTCAGATGCACATTGGCAGCATAATTCAAACTATACCGACTTTCATGAGATGTAAAGGCTCCACCTCTTTCGTCTGGCTTTTTGAGCGACACTGAGCTTTGGCTTTGCGCCTCAGTCACGGTCATTAATGTCTGTGAAATATTGTGTGCATTAAAAAATATATTATTGGTACTTAACAATAGATCTCTTAACCAGGTTTCTATAAAATAGAATGCAAGTGTTTACAAATGACGGCTGGAAAAACATTGTTTACTTATATCATTTAACATTTCAATTACGTGCTCCATTTTATCACTAACAAAACAATTTGCAAATGAAATGTGCAGTAATCAAATAATTTGCAATAAAATATGGTCTTACTTTATCTTCATTCCCATCTACAAACGTTATTAAACGTCCATTGCTGTTTTGTGTTGGTTTCAGACATTTTCCAGCTTTCAGTTCTGCTATAAGTTCAAAATTTAAGCTACTTGAAGCTTTGAGGTTGATTTTTTGAACACCTGAAAAAACAAATGTACAAGCAATGTGTGCACACGTCTTCCAAATAATGAGAATTTGCATCATATGATATTTAGAATGATCATGTTGCTTATACAATACTATATTTTCAAACCATAAACCGATGACCAATCCAGACAAATGTTATCCAGCAAAAATCGATAATCGGTAAACTCTGGATCAGTTTGTACCCTTCTGGGTCTCATTAGCAGGGTTAAAGATGAGAGGAACACAGCGACAATATAGGGCTGTAGTAATTTCAGGAAGTAACAATATATACAACACATGCACTTTCGTGGAGCATCATGGTTTTTATTAAACAGACGTACATTCATCTGGCCATGTATTTTTAGGCCATAAAAGCCCAATAGAATAGAGAAAATTATGGGAAATATGAATAATGTAAAATTGTAATGTGAGTCCAGTCGCATGGCTACACATGACTATTCTACTCTTACCTGAATACCAAACATTCCAAAGTGACTGCTTTCTGTTAACAATTAATATAAAAATGTTTCGAGGTACTCATGAACAATTGTACACAGTATATGTTCCATTAGTTTAATCGTGGGTAATGTTAGTGTAGATATTCGATTACCGTATTTTCCCGCATATAACCCGCGGGGTATACCACTTGTTACAAACAAAACAAGACCCTGCGGGGTATATGGAGGTGCGGGCTATCTGAAATTTGTTGTACACAAAACGCTATTTTTGCGGGGTATATGCGTCTGCGGGTTATATGCGTATGCGGGCAATATGCGGGAAAATACGGTAAATGAAAAAATCATAAGAAGTGCGGAGCATATGTACAGCAATACGATATAGGTAGCGATAAAAAAAATGTATGCCAGCACAATACAGTACTGAGAGAAAACGATAGGAGAGGCACAACCATTTCCGGCTATGGGATTATATCTGTATTTTGGGAGCGTAACCCTTCCACTGCCTGTATTTATGTTTGTTAAAGTTATTTCGCACTGCTAATCAAACGTGTGGGAGGAAGACAAAGAGTTGAAATCGTTTAGCAGATTGGATAAGATGGCAATGCAGATTGAAGGCATGTCAGGCCGGATATGGTTGTAGTACATGTTGTAAGAGAAAAAAGATCGTAAGTCAAAGTATATTTGGATGTTGTAGTGGTATTACAACTCTCACTCTTTTAAGAGCTGTTGGCAGGTATTATATCATCAATCCCACCCTACCAACTAGGACATCAAAAAGCCCTCATATTGCTAAGTTGTCGACTTAATGGATGGTGTTCACACAATGCGCTTTCGTTATAATGCGGTTCTTAAATTTGGGAACACTTGGCAAAAGTGGAACGCGCCCGTTATAACACAGAAACGCGCCCGTTATAATGCAAAATGTGCCTGTTATAACACAGAAACGCGCCCGTTATAACACAGAAACGCGCCCGTTATAACACAGAAACGCGCCCGTTATAATGCAAAATGCGCCTGTTATAACACAGAAACGCGCCCGTTATAACACAGAAACGCGCCCGTTATAACACAGAAACGCGTCCGTTATAACACAGAAACGCGCCCGTTATAACACAGAAACTCGCCCGTTATAACACAGAAACGCGCCCGTTATAACACAGAAACGCGCCCGTTATAACACAGAAACGCGCCCGTTATAACACAGAAACTCGCCCGTTATAACACAGAAACGCGCCCGTTATAACACAGAAACGCGCCCGTTATAACACAGAAACGCGCCCGTTATAACACAGAAACGCGCCCGTTATAACACAGAAACGCGCCCGTTATAACACAGAAACGCGCCCGTTATAACACAGAAACGCGCCCGTTATAACACAGAAACGCGCCCGTTATAACACAGAAACGCGCCCGTTATAACACAGAAACGCGCCCGTTATAACACAGAAACGCGCCCGTTATAACACAGAAACGCGCCCGTTATAACACAGAAACGCGCCCGTTATAACACAGAAACTCGCCCGTTATAACACAGAAACGCGCCCGTTATAACACAGAAACGCGCCCGTTATAACACAGAAACGCGCCCGTTATAACACAGAAACTCGCCCGTTATAACACAGAAACGCGCCCGTTATAACACAGAAACGCGCCCGTTATAACACAGAAACGCGCCCGTTATAACACAGAAACTCGCCCGTTATAACACAGAAACGCGCCCGTTATAACACAGAAACGCGCCCGTTATAACACAGAAACGCGCCCGTTATAACACAGAAACGCGCCCGTTATAACACAGAAACGCGCCTGTTATAACACAGAAACGCGCCCGTTATAACACAGAAACTCGCCCGTTATAACACAGAAACGCGCCCGTTATAACACAGAAACGCGCCCGTTATAACACAGAAACGCGCCCGTTATAACACAGAAACGCGCCCGTTATAACACAGAAACGCGCCCGTTATAACACAGAAACGCGCCCGTTATAACACAGAAACGCGCCTGTTATAACACAGAAACGCGCCCGTTATAACACAGACACTCGCCCGTTATAACACAGAAACGCGCCCGTTATAACACAGAAACGCGCCCGTTATAACACAGAAACGCGCCCGTTATAACACAGAAACGTGCCCGTTATAACACAGAAACGCGCCCGTTATAACACAGAAACGCGCCCGTTATAACACAGAAACGCGCCTGTTATAACACAGAAACGCGCCTGTTATAACACAGAAACGCGCCCGTTATAACACAGAAACGCGCCCGTTATAACGTGGTTTCTGAGCGGTCGTCGATGAACTACTTTCTTGAGCTGCATGGCTCAGCGGTATGATACCGTATATGGAACGATACAGTAATGTCGAGGCATATCCTCAATTATTTGTCGTGCCATCTTCCTGTGTGTGCGTACATCGACAACATTTATTGTTACATTATATATGAGGAAATAGTTTTCGCTTAAGGGGCCGTCCATTAATGACGTCACGCACCTAGGGAGGGGGGGGGGTCAGACGTTTGTGACGGGGGGGGTGAGAAATGTGACGTCACATAAAAATGCGCAACTTTAAATAAATACAGACAACACGTTCTACGTTATTAAATAGACTTTTTGATGTTTTCTCCTACAACATCAGAGTGCAGCGCCACATTAAATACGCACTACAATGACAATAAATTAAAGCGATTAGAAGCATTTTTTTGGGGGGGGTCAGAGCTTTGTGACGTCATATTTGAGGGGGGTCTGACTTTTTGTGACGCCGTGTGACGAGAGAGGGGGTCAAAAATCGTCCAAAATCGCGTGAGGTCATTTTTGGACGGCCCCTAATGCATGTTTTGCTTCACGTGGCACTTTTCAGGAATGCATCTACCGCATTAAATAAGGATCATTAATTCACCGAGCAGTGGTGTAAAATCTGGTGTATGACTTGTGCTTTACTCTGTTTTATGGAGCATAGATATACTTATATGTAGAGCAACACCAGACACTCACCTGACTTGCATGGCAGTGTTTTATAGAGGCTGGCACCATCATATCTATTTATTTGTGGATGAGATGGTGGAGGCGGTGCCTGTGGTGGTATAAATGAATATTCATCTGCTGTAATGCTGATAATATCAGAGTCTTTTTCTCCCTCCTATAAAAAAAAAAGAGTTGTATCAATCATGTTAAGTTGGTGTAAGAAAATAAATCCACATGTGAGACCTTAATCATCTATAGGTTATAAGTGATGGTGGAAAAAAAAAGTATTCTCATGGAATTGGGTTGCGTGTGTTGGTTTACGTGTCAGAATATGTACCATGTCACTTACACTTTCAGACTCTGGAATGTCAGTGTTTGACTCCATGTCAGTATCTGCTGCCACTGGCAAGTCGCAGAGCTCTCGAAGTTGGGCAGCTTCATCGTCGTCCATTTCACTTCCTGAGATGTCATCACCCTCGGTCAGTTTAAACGTGACTCTCCGGCCTGGTTTACGATTTGTTGGACCCTGTTCACACGACTAACACAAGTTAAGATGTTAAACGTGGAACAGGGTGTTGTTGTGTAATGCTTTATACACTGGAATTAAAAAAAGTGCTGCAACGCTTTTTATCAGTAATTTTTTTTACCAATACATCACAAATGGTATCAATGTGCGGCCTACACATTAAGATGCAACACTTTTATAAAATGAAAATATATGTTTGTATAAAAGATATAAAATAATTTACGTGAGGTAATCATTTGCCAGGGCAGACTCAATTAAATTGTGTCAACCACCCTGGGCCTGTGTTAATAACAATAGTAACCAGTGTTTCTATTACTCATGAAAACTACAGCATGTTTATACATATGGAAGGAAAATGGAGCACCCAGAAAGAAAAAAATATTCGAGAGGCAAACACGATATCATGAAGTTGGGACCGATGATAAAGTCCACACTTTGCTGTATAATTTTCTCTCGGCAAGCCAGGGTTACACCTCAACGTCCACAGGAAGGGAGTTTCACAACAATCCACCAACTCTCAGCTCCACAGTGCTGGATTACAAGCATGCGTCGCCATCGTCTAATGATGGCATTAACATATTCAGTGGCAGTGAAAATGGACTGCTGGTTTCTGTGTTCATGGCAGCTGAACACCCCCTCTCAGTGTTAAGTGGCCTTGAGTGACAGAAACTGTTATTGGCAGCTGATGTGGAGGCTGGGGCCTTGCCCATAGGCATAATTTGTGCTCTGTGGCTTAATTTAAATGTTAGCTTTGTTTATTACCTTTTTAGAATTGAAGTGAAGCTAAAAAGGTCTCCATGACCATTGTTAATGCCCCCTTTTTTCCACTAGATCCCTTCAATATCTGCTCTTACAGCATCCCTCCACGGTCACCAACTTATGTATGCTTGTTGTGATGTCCGTCTTAGTGACTTCCTCCATCCCACACATGTCTCACCTAACGCATTTTATTTCCATGTTTCTAGTATGACCTAAGCTGCTACCATATCCTGCCATGGAAATTCATAGCATCATCTTCATGTACCTGTAGTCCATAGCAAGATGTTTTATATACGTTTGTTAAAATTCAGCTCTCAGATCTGTACAAGAACATTACCTCTTCCTCAAACACGGATATTTTAACACCAAAGTTAACAACTGCATTCTACAAAAATCGTGTATTTAGCCTATTAAAATACCCACCCTGATTAATATGTATGTGTAATAACATCCCTCATCATTGCCTGAAGTGACGCAAGCCATTTTGAACCCATGCGCTGAACCTTAATGCAAATTTCAACCCCAATGAAGCCTGGAGAGCTGAATGGAGTTCTAAAGAACTCACAATCAAACAAGCACCTTGGGGTCCACCCTAAACCGCATCTATTCAAGCCATGGCAGATCCGGATACCTGATGCACTAGTGGAAAACTCTCCAGTGTGCAACTGTGGTCATCCAGAACACACCATACAACATATAATGACGCAATGCCCAATCCACAAATACAAAGGAGACATTACAGCGTTGGACACCGCTACTCCTGACGCGGTTATCTGGCTTCACTACCTACATATGAAATCGTAGTTGTTGCTCTGCATTCTGCCATACAAAATAATAAGAATACACATGTTATACCTAGATACACATTCCAAATTCCCACTGATGACTATGATAGGAGATACATAGGGGCCGATCTAATAATTATTATAATGATTATAGTCACTGCCTTAAACCTTTTTAAAATGAACAAATGTTACATTTTTATTTAAAGCTTTCGTGACTGCAGGGATTCATATTCTTGGTTGGAGTCTACATTATTTTATCATATTAACAGTTATAGCAAAGTCATAACATTGTGGTGGCACTGAACGTATGGATCAATTAATCAAGTGCTCTTCTATAGATGGAGATACAGTGACTCACAGAACCTTTCCATGTGTTCCCAGCAAAGGCGCAGCTTTTTCCCAGTAATTTACCAAGATTGAGAAACGAAGTGCACAGATGTCTTGTTAAAGGCCCTCAGCCAGCGGTACAAGTTCCACATTCTCATGCCAAGGTAAAATAAAAAAATAGATAAGTGCTGCTGACCTTACCACAAAGTGGTTATATTTCACCAACCCCAAAGGGATGATGTGCTGTCAATTATCAACTAAATATGTAACTCAGAATATTCCACTATTTCTTAAAATATTTCACCTGGAATATCTCACGAGATATTTTTTTAAAATTCATTTTCAAAGGTGTCCACAGGGTTAAAGCATGAATTCATGAGAGTTAAGCACTGTTTTACCGGTATCTCAAATCGTTATATATAACTCTGCTTATTATTTGGAATGTTCACGTATTTTGTATAGTCTGCATGTTTCTGCTAGGAGAGGGAGCACAGACACATGTTTACACTCACGTTGTGCCTTTGAAAAAGCAGGTATTCCACACATTCCGTGTGCCCATTTTCTTCAGCTAAATCCACAGGTGTATATCCCCATGAGTCTTTTGCATTTACATCAGCTTCATGCATCAGCAAAATTTCACAACACTGTTGGGAAAATCACAACATTAATTGAAACACAAGTATAGGACGAGAATGTGTCCTTGTTAGTGGTGGTGGAGTATTCAAGTTAACTTTTATAAATAACTTTACATACCTTTGCATAATGCATTTGCAAAAACTACACAGAATGTAGCACTGTATGCTCGTACCTGTGGTATACCAGAACTTGCTGCGTATTTCGTGTGTTTTTACTGGACGGTACAGTATATGTTGTAGAATAATGAGAATGAGCATTCTATGGCCAGCTGTCACACATACGATTAACGCCATTCACCACCCTCAACATCCATATTGCAAGGTGAATTATAAAGGTTTGATCCCAGCAATTGAAGATTTATACCGGTCCAAAGTTTGAACATATTATATTGTTCATGCAACCTGGATTTGTGTTGCCACGGCCTCGAAGCCACTCTGCAGGTGCCACGACCTCCCCCCTGACCCCCACACTGAATACACACACACATCGCTCACACGTAATGTCCTGACGTTGGGTCGCCTGGCAGTCGGGTTTTAATCCGAGGATTCCTCTGAGGAATGTCCGATGGTTGCTCCGATGCCAGTAGATTGGCTCGACCCAGCAAGACAGTGTTGCATCGCAACGCCCCTGGTTATTAGCGTAACAATGTACACCTTCCCAGGTTAGCTGCGATGAATTAATATTCTGGAACGGCTAAGGAACCTAGAAATTAGTTACATATCTCTGTAATACGCAAAACCAAAATTATTTAAGATATAATTTAACTTCACTCCCAAAATAATACAACAAACGGATGATAATCATAAATCCATGGCTTAACCCTGTAATAAAAAAAAGTATTCATCATAAAAAACTAAACTTGGGTTTTAAGGAATTAAAGATAAATCTGTCTCCACACCTTGAATTGGCACGTTCTGTTTATGTGACAAACCTTACTAATTGGCTGTGTCGGGTGGTGGCGGGTTTAACGACACATTTATATTTACGCAATCTAACCCCAAAAAAAACCTATATTATGGATGATAATGGTCGCGAAAGCCTACATGTTAAACTATGTCACGTTACTTTGCGCTCCCCAAATTTCACCAAGCACACTGTTCATGAACTCTTGGAAGTGCTTGCACAAAGGATAGTAACATCTCATCCTGTGTTCTTTGGAATCAATTTATGTAATAAAAAGGATAATTTATGATCCATTCCTGTTGACAATGAGAAAAATATAATATCGTCTATAAATGATTATTTATAACAAAGCGCACTAGCAGTTTTAGTATACTGACATTTATAGAAATATAATGGAATCGGATGGTGGCATGGTGTAATCTAGAGGTAACCAATTCGATTAGCTCTCCTGGCGTAGCAGTGTAAGTGAGCGATACCACAGTAATGTTCTGCAACTGCTGACAGTTGTGTCTGTGAGTATTTAATATTTGTTTGGAATTATTTCAGTCTTGTGCTGATCATTTGTCCCACCAGATCAACATGGCATTGGCCACAAGATACATTAATCCGGTACACATCTTGTGCAAATAGTTTCAGTAATTCATCTTTAGTACCAGATATTAGTCTTTGCATTTTGCGTACTGTGCCAAATATCACTCGGATTTTTTTTAAATCTGGTTAGTTTATCATATACTCTTGCAATGTATTTTAATAGTTTTAATTATTTGATCCTTTTCATCATTTGTGCTATTTGATTTGTTTTTTTCATTCACCTCTTTAACATGTTTAATCTCACTCCTCAGACTTTGACAATCTGACATTTTTTTATCCCCATGTATGAGCATCTTCATGAGGGAATATTTATTTGTGGGGCATCAGTGTGCATTTTCTTTCGGTAAATGTGTGCTATTTTACCATTTCGCTCCTGCCTGAGCAGAATATTACAAGAATCCACCTCCACTTTTATGGTAAACTGGATGCATGGTTTTTAAGAGTTGAGATGATTTAAACTTGCATTAAGTGTATCTTTACCATGTGGCCAGACACCCAATGTGTCAACCACATATCTAATCCAACGAGAGGGTTTCATTGTACTTGAAGCGAATGCTTTTGTTTCAAAGGTTTCCATCGCTGTGAGCAATGCCATGGGGTGGGGGAAGGGGGGAGTGGCCGATTCGAATTGGCCGTTCCCCTCATGGTGCTCGTCGTCACCACAGCGGAAAATGGGGGCTGTGGATGGGTGCAAGGGACTAGTGAACCCTCCACCTTCATCAACAGGGATCCACGGTGGCAAAATCCTTGCTGCCTTGCCTGTTATACAGGAGGTGGTGGGTTCAATCCCGACCCTGGAGCCTGTATGTTTGAAGTTTGCAAATTCTCCCTTTGGTCTCGTTAATTTTTCTATGGATTCTCCGGGGTTTCCCCTCTACATTTAGAAACATGCATTTCGTTTTTGGCTGCGATATATTTCCACGTGATAAACCACTTCGCTGAGATATTATTTGAGGCCAGGTCAATTCTGGAAATAGATATATAGCTCAGTCGCCGTCAACTGGTAAAAAATATATAGTTTAGTTTTTAGCTTAAATTACCGTGAAACCACGAATTAAAGACCAAACTAGGTTTGTACCAGAGGCCTCGGGGGGAGGGGGGCATCCGTCTCTGACGTCTCCTGGCCAAACCTCATTTGGTGGCACCAGGAGACTGAACCCGCACACTCCGGGTTCCTCCAGAAACGGCAAGAAGCCACTGCGAGTAGCCACGTGGGATGTGCGAATCCTCACTGCAGAGGGGAGGCTGCCACTCCTCTGTCAGAAGCTGGACTAGCACCACCTGAATCTCTGTGGTATTCAGGAAATCCGGTGGACTAGTTCTGGCTCCAGTCACTATGAGGGGTGGACAGTCTTCTACTCAGGGCAGGAAACTAACAACAGGGAGTGGCTCTTCTTCTGAACAAACGAATCAAGGGGGTGTGGGAGCATGGCAGTGAGGTGTGGGAAGCTGTGAGTCCCAGGCTACTGTGGGCCTACCTCCCCATCAATGGGAAGTGAGGAATGGTGGTGGTGGGTTACACCCCTACTGAAGATGAACAGCAGTGGAGGGATGCAGGCAAGGCTGATGAGTCAGATGCCTTCGATATAACCTTTTATCACAGGTACTAGTTAAAGTGAAGCCTCAGTATAGAGTTATCCTGTTGCCTGTATTCAAGGCTCGAGTTGGTCATTATGCAGGTACCTGGCCAGGAGTGATTGAAATACATGGGCCAGATTAGCTCAATAAAAACGGTAAGAGGCTGCGAAACATCTGTGCAGCCCATGGGCTTGTAGGTAAATTAACAACACGCTGTTCCGGCATCGGCACATCCACACAACATCATGGATGCGCACCGGGTCCAAGCAAGAACATCTGCTGGACGATAGCATGATGGAAGAGCGGACGCAGGCCCATGTCCTTCACACCAGGACCTACCATGAAGCTTATCTGCCCACTGACCATTGGCTTGTTATCTGTAAAATGTGCCTGCCATTCTTTCACTTCGGTGGTGGGTATCCACCTAGGACCCCATTCGAACTGACTGTGACCTGGCTTCAGCGAGCTGATAAAAGTTGCAAGCGAGAATTGAATCATTACTTGCAGCTGGGGTTGGCATCGTCCCCCCTTCCTCCTGATGCCGAGGCGAAATAGGTGGGGTATAGGACTGTAGCTCATGCAGTTGCAATGCCTACTTTGGGTATATGATCCAAACCTCCACAGAGACCCTGGCTGACAGAGGAGGTGTTCCAGCTAGCTGAGAAAAAGCGACAGGCCCACTCCCACCGTCTGCCGCATCCCATGTCAAAGAATGAGGCGGCTTACCACAGCCTTCACTAGGAAGTTCAGAGAGGCATGCATCACGACAAGGATGAGTGGTGGTCATGGGTTGCCAAGGAGATAGAATCTGCCTCAGTAGCCCGTGATCACATTTCACGATTTAATTCCATCAAAAACGTAACTTGCAGCACCACACCTATTACCATCCTACGGGAAAAGAATGGTGATCCGATCTCTGACCATCAGCAACAGGTTTACAGATTTGTTGAGCATTTCTGTGAGTTCTTGAGGGAGAGGAAATCCCTCCGCTTAGAAAACATGAGGCAAGATGGGAATGACCCTGCTGGGGCTGTGGTGCCTCAAATATCGTAAGAAGTAGTTGCCTCCTGTGAGTGACTGGCTGAGGTGCCATCAGTTGAGGAAGTACAGAAGGCAATCCAGAGTCTGAGAACAGGAAAAGTGCCAAGCAGAGATGACCTCCCAAGCGCACTGCCGAGGGAGGGTGGAGTTTGTATGCAAACTGCCCTTTATGACATAAGAACAGTGTGGACCACTGGATGGGTTCCGCAGGAATGGAAGGATGCACTGGTGGTCTCCTTCTTTAAGAAGGGGGACCGCACAGACTAACAGCTACAGCAGCATCTCCTTCCTCAGTGTGCCAGGAAAGGTCCTGGCAAGGATTATTCACCATGGCCTGGTCAGGCATGCTGAGGAGAGGATTTCAGAGCCCTAATGTTGTTTCAGGTTAGAGCAGTCGTGCACGGATGCCATAGTCTCTGTCTATTTGCTAAAAAAAAAGAGGTATAGGGAATTCCAACAGAACCTACATCTCTGCTTTATTGACGTAGTCAACGCATATGATACCATGAATAGCTTTCCTGCTTTTGGAGGCCCTGACTCGCTTCTCACAATCACTGAGGACCTTCATGGTGGTGGGAAGACCCGGGTAAATTTACCTGGCTAGGAGTCAGAGCCATTCCCTGTTCACCTTTGGTGCGACAGGGATCTACTCTCGCCCCTATATTATGTAACGTCTCTTTTCTACCAAGTAGTTTGGGAAGTTCTCCATGGCTGTACCAGAGTAATTTCCATATTGTACAGATACAATGCGACGCTAATCGATGTTAGGTTGCGGTCGAGGGATGGCTTCTTATTGGTCAACCATATTATGCATGCTGATCATCTGGTGGAGAGGTTTCCATACCTGGGCAGTGTGCTTATGGCCAGCTGTGGATTGACAGCAAAGATCTCACTCCTAATCACTCGAGTGTTATTATATTTTCATCAGCTGCATAACGCTGTGTAGAAGCTACCTGGTCTGTCACTCCACACGTAGTTTCGGGTCTTGTTGGTCCAGAGTCATGCCCTCCCTCCTCTATGCTTGCGAAACGTGGACCCCATAATGGAACATCTGTGATGGTTAGAAATATTCAGGCTGGCTCGCCTATAATCCATCCTGGGTTTAACCAGGCTGGATTGTGTGAGCTCACAAATCCTTCAAAGATCTTGACACAGTCCTGTCGGTGAGCTCCTCCGGCAGACATGGTTGTGTTGGCTGGGACATTTATCTTGCATGTTCAACCACCGTTTGCCCAAACAGATTTTGTGTGGCCAGATAGAGGCGGCTAAATGGGTGCCGCATGGGTTACAGAAGAGGTGGACTGATGTGGTCCAAAAGGAAATGGAGCTGAGTGGACTTGCCAATGACTAGTACCAGCAGTGTCAAGATCGGCTTCTTTGGAAGAGGCTCATGAAGGACGCTACTGGGAAGTTGGAGGGAGTAACCCTCCAACAACAGCGCAGGGCAGACGAGCGATGCTCAGAAAGATGAGAGGAGCGCCAGGCGGCTAAAACACTGCAAGTTGGCACAGTACGGGGCACAGGTGGACATCTGCCAGTCATCTCAGTCAGTCAACCCATGGCATCTGGGTCTGTCCCGTGAATGTAGCCTGGCACAAGTGCCATGGTAACATGACCACTACTTAGTGGCAAATGGTGGTTGTTGTATTGTGACGATTCAAAATGTATGTCGGATCCTCTTTAGATTACTAACTACTATTTTATTTTACCAGGTAAGGCCCACTGACCTATAGAGCTCTTTTTGAGAAGTGACCTGGCCACAAATAATAGCTCAACGAAGTGGCTTATCACGTGGACATTTATAGCAGCCAAATATTATAAATGCATGTTTCTAATCTTGGGGCCCGGAGAAATATCCATGCGACCACCGGGAGAACAGGCATACTTCGAGTATACAGGCGTCCATGTCGGGATTAAACCCACGACCTCCTGCATACCAGGCGAGGTAGTCAAAATCTCACCACCGTGGTGCCCTCTTCATATGTACATTTACCTTTATGTGTCCATTATCTGCGGCATCATGAAGTGGGTAGCATCCCGTGAGGTCCACCTGGTTCTTAGCACCGTGAGCCAGGAGCCAGTCCATTGTTGAGCAATGTCCTCCTCCTGCAGCGAAGTGCAGTGGGCTTACGCCATCTCCGTCCACATTATTAAGATTGAGGACCGTGAATTCTGTCTGCAGGAACGTATTTCAAATTAAGAATACATCACGTAACATATCGTACATCAGAGAAAATATCATCAAGTAAAACAATGCGAGAGGGTGGGAGCAGCACCTGGCTGTAGAGAGACCTGTGGGAGAGAGGGGGTGGGGTCAGGGAGTCGCTAAGCAACGGAAACTTTCTCTCGTCTTTCTTAAATAGAATCCTTGTGCAATAGTATGGAACGCATCAAGGGGCTCTACAATTAAAAACGTCATCTATAAATACCCATGGATGGGTATTTTACTTTTATTTACATATAAAAGCATGTCTCGCTTGACGAGCGTTACTTAAACGAGAATTCGCTAAAACGAGCAAGTTAAATTTATCCGAGTGTTTTCATAAAACGAGCAAATGTTCGCGTAACGAGCGGAGACCGATCGGTCGAATGCGTCCCCTGGTGGCAGGTGGCGCACCACGGCCCGCAGTTGTTTGTTTACCATTCTTCTGTGCTGTACTTCATAAGTGCGTGATTCGGGGAGGGGGACTTCAGTAACGAGTGTTATCTGATAGGGTCCTGGGTCTCCCCTGGGACGACTTGGACTCAAATTAGTACCAGGTGCGGTGAGTAAATATCGCCACGAGTGAGACAAAGGTAGCCGGGCGTGGTGCTGGCCACCCACATCTCGCGTGCCATACCGGCCTTCATAGGTGCTCGCTAACAGCACTTAGCCCAACACTCTGCTAAGGCTATATGGGGGATATTTGTCTTTGGGAGGGAGAGGTGCGTATGAGACAGAGTGTGCGAGAGGGCTGTGTGATTGAGTGGAGATAGGGTGTGTGTGAGTGATTTCAAATATGTGGCTATACGGAGGCTCTTGCACTGTGGTTCTTCATGTGCGGTGTTAAATTTGATGTTTTATTGCAAATTTATACTGTCATTTTTGTTTCTCATGTTAACAAAGTTGTTTAAAAGTGGACAATTTTGGGGCTGAAACGTTTCTCTGATTTTAACATGGGGAGTCAATGGAAAAACGATCGTTTCGCGAAACGTATCTCACTCATTAAGCAAGACATACTTGTATTTCTATGTATATGTACATTATTTTCCCAGTATAGCTTCCCCGAGTTTCATGATTCTTTTTCAGGAGGATCAGGCAACGTTTTTGGACCATGACCCCAGTGCACAAATGGACAATTCTTGTTAATGGCGTCACAAAGTCACCATGAAATAATCCCTGCGAGCAATATTTTATAATTGATTAGGACGGTCGCTGAAATCGAACTGTGAACCTCTCCAACAATGGGGCCGAATATGTAAAGCTTGTGTTTGATCGTACATGACAATTAAATTACCGTTTTTACGTCACTTTCCTACGTCTTCTTGGTTCTTTCGGTAAAGTCACGTAGAAGGGAAATAATAAAATAATAAAAATAAAACATTATAAAATAATTCTCACGACGTTTCGGCCACAACGCAAGCAGCCATCCTCAGGTGAAGAACAGGTCTGTCGGTAAGACAGTGAGATACGTTCCAATTAAAAAAAATATCTTGCTGTGGTTTTCCCACCTGATGATGATTGCTTGTGTTGCAATCGAAACGCCGTGATTTGATTGATTTTAATTTATTTCTAACTACGTGACTTTACCGAAAGACCCAAAGAGTATGGATTCCTGCAGTCACGAAAGCTTCAAATCAAGATTGCTCAATTCAAGTCACGTAAAATTGGTGGCGAACTGCAGTCAATCTGTGTCCGAATCGTGCCAACCTAAAATGTCTGCCATCAAAATTTCCAGAAAAACAATCCCATAATGAATTGGGCCCAGAGTATTTCCCCGCTCAAACCAACATTTGGCTATGCTTATCTTCACATTTGTGGGCCTGAATCAGCGGTGGAAATGTCACAGTTCCACGTTTTTTTCATAGAAGCGATAGGCATTGATATCAGAGAAGAGATTGCTTGAGTTCATCCTTTGATTAGGATTTTAACTCCATTTTTGACGATGGCACATTGGTACGGTGCTGCATTGCCACATACACCTATCAACGCTGCTTTTTGGACTCCTGTAATGGACAAAATATTTCAAGGTGGTTTACAGGCAGTCCTTGACTTATGCACAGGTTATGTTCCTGAGACCCGTTCATAAGTCGATTTGTTCATATCTCGGAACTCAATATTTAATTGTCGTTGTTATAAAATGTGTTATGGTCCAACAAAAAAGGCAAGCATTATTACACGCATAAATAATGAGTATGTACAGTAATACCCCGGTTTACATCGGGAATGCGTTCCTGAAATGTGCGATGAATATAACGACGTAAATTTAAAAAAATGTACAGGGTAGGTGGAGGCAAAGACTGAGGCGAAAAGACAGATTCTGTCGGAGATATATGGGTTGAGGCTACGCAAATAAGGTAGTGGACTTAAATAAGTGACGATGTATGTGCAAAATTACCTATAAGGGGGAGACACAAATTGAGTATTACTTTAATACTGTAAGAAATACTATTTAAATAAAACCTAAATAAAAGTAACTTTTTCACTTTCCTTGAGCCTTGATACTGGTTTGTCGGAAGGGGTGTGCATCACGCGGGATGTTGGGACTCATTACATTTCGCAGAGGATCGCTCCTCTGAACAAAATAGTTTTGTGTTTCAGTTTGTAAATACCACTGGAGGTTATGGTTAAAATAATAAAATCTTATGGGGGTTCGTTTGGAAGTGCGAATGTTCATAAGTCAGACAGTATCTCGGGGACTGCCTGTATATGTATTAAAGTATAATCAAACAAAATTATATGCTGAAAATATTACGGCTACGTTTTACAATAAAAACAGATATAGGTACTTTACCAGCCAGTCAAGCAATGGAGTGTGGCCATTTTGTGCAGCAGCATGAAGCGGAGTCATCCCATCCTCACTTTGGATTGTAACATCAGCTCCCCATTTCTCCACAAGCCGTTGCAAAAGGAAAAGATGCCCTTCTTGGCATGCCAAATAAACAGGTGTCACACCTTCACGTGTGCGTGCATTAACTGTGCTGCAGGGACAAAACAGTAGATCACGTTGCAAACAACAGAACACAAACACAGTGCAAGCACAGGTGCAATAGATAAAGCCAAGTCATATTGAGATCTCCATTAAGTTTCTAAACTCATCACCATATCCATTAACAATATTGGTCTCCCACAGTATCATAGCACGTGTAGAATTTCATCTGCCTCCCCACTGTTTACAAATTTAAGTGTCCTACTTTACAATAAAAGTAAAAAAAAATCTTCATAAGCAGGTCTTCATATTCAAAGTCAAAAAGCTTCACGTGCAGTGCTCACTGATGGGAATGGCATTGTTATATATCAGCAGAATTGTCGGTGCTGATGATCTATTTAACTTGCCAGCTGACTTGATAGCTTACTATATGATGGTAGGTATTCTAAATGGGGCCCAATAAAATAGAGTTTCACAATTTTGAGAAACCCCAAATGGAAACACATTTATAACCACAAGATGCATTTTACGCTTGATTTCTTAAAACGTGCACATTTTACAAGCTTATGACATTGAGCTATAATTTATTCCGTCATTTTACAATGAATTAATATTTAAGCAGTATATTCATTTGTAGACATTTATTGTATAATACATTGTGGGTCTAATAATAAGTCTAAACGTAGCCAACTTACTCTGGGGCTGCTTGCAGCAGGGCATTCATCGAATCGGGATCTCCACGTACAGTTGAGTAATGTATCGGCAAAGCAAGCGCTTCAGTGGCAGCACAAGGGTCACATCTGCCAGACTGGAGCAACCAGTTGACAACCGCTGTACAACCAAACCGTGCTGCCACATGCAGGACAGTGCAGCCTGCACTATCGCGCTCCTGTCACACCACCACGTTAAAAGCATACAATTAATATTCACGAAAAATGAGCGATTTGCTCCATATTAAGAACATGTAGAGAAATTAGTGTTTTACAAATGCACGTCATTGTTTCCTCTCAGAATGGTGGCAGATGAAGCAGAATCAAAGTACATACACGCACAGATGTGTGTATACGGCACATTGAGGTCGGGTTCCAGAAGAAATCCAAAACCGGCGGAGCCTTTGTGGACTTGTAATCGGCCTAAACACAGTCTGGATTAAGGGCTTGATTTTGAAGCTGACAAAGACCATTCCTTGCCTCCACTGATTACATATCTACATATTGTCTAATCTTAAATGTATTCTGATTACCTTTATCACTCCTCTGAATTCAACTCCCTATTTATATCCCATGAATACAATACATATCCTACTATATCTCTCTAATTGTGTCTGAATACATCTTTCCTACTCTTTTATATATCTTTTTTATTAATCCCTTCTATATTTCCTTTCCCAAGGCCCTTCTGAATACGTCGCCGATCTCCAATATCCATTCTGAATGTTGTGACTGAGTTACCAGGTCGAATTGCGATAGTGATAATGATACTGGTGATGATGTGATAAGGACGTTTATACTGGTAGGAACCTCCTGGTTCCACCAGCCCACAGGGGATTATTGTGTCCATCCGTCGTGCATCCAAAAATGGGAGGGGTGGGGCTGGGTGGAGAGGGGAGGGTGGGGAGGGAGGGGCTGGGTGGGGAGGGAGGGGCTGGGTGGGGAGGGTGGGGCTGGGTGGGGAGGGTGGGAAGGGGCTGGGTGGGGGTGGGGAGGGGCTGGTCACCCCGTGGTGCCCTTATAAAACTCAACGTTTAACCTACTCACGCCGGATTGTGCCCGCCCTCACAGTCGGGCATATTTGCGGAATACACCACGCTGCCGTTGACCCTGGCCATTGACCGAGCAAACCCAACGTTCCTACCAGCTCCCTCCGCAGGAATGTGTTGTGTGACTGGAGATGACAATGTGGAAGGGGCTTTGATTGTGCAGTGCTTGGTGTGTTACGCTGGCCCGGCGGGGAAGATAGTGGAATGTAGGTTAAAGGGAAATGTTACCGTACGCAAGCTACAATAATTCCGCGGCGCACGAGAGTATGGATTTGTGTTATAGGCCTATGATATAAATGCTGTTCATTCAATCAGAAGAAGAGCTGTAACAATGAGGGAGAAAGAAACCGAATAATTTGGAGGGTAGGATCACAGAAGGATCAATCAGATGAGAGTTCGATCCTCGAGGAAGGGTGAATCCAGGTATTTGGAAGCGTCACCCTTTGGATATTTCATTGTTGAACATTTTCAATACATTAATTGCGATGAAAAATTATAATGCTGTAAGTGGGTTTTACATTGCATATCAGCGTCTCATTAATAAAGCACTGTTAATTCAATATGTTTGATCATTTAGGATGGTCGAATTTCTAGATGATTTGATCTAATCTATGAATGGGTATTATCCTGAAGAGAATAAATTGCAATCAAAGTTAATAGACAGAGCCACATGGAGCGCTTCGAGGGAGTGATGGTGAGGCCGTTTCGGTATTCGTGGGCCGAGTCGTGACCTGATGTGATCACGTGTCTCCTGGAGCCAGAGTAAACATAACGCAGGAGACTACTACCGAGCTTTTACATTCATAATTTAGCATTAACCACGCATGTGATCTCAGGAAGATGACGGACAGAAGCTGCAAAACACAGTGAGGCCAAGCTATTGTGTAAATTGACGTGGTTAGAACAGTTTTTTTAACCAACTGATTAATGATCAAAGATACAAAAAAAAACTATCTGGAACAGATTAAACTGATTACAGTTCATGGTTCAATCGGATTTGGGTTAAACAAAACCAATTCGCACGGTTGGCAACATACGGTGCGCAAAAGTTCAACATACGTCCATATCAAGGCCGTAGCCATGGAGTCAACATTGGGGGGGACCAAATCTTCCAGGGGGTCTGGGTCCCCCCCCCCAGAAAAAATAATCTAAATTTGAAAACGAATTTCCTGCCATTTCCCCGCTAAAATATAAAAAAAAATCACTAACACATAGGATGTCCTTTTTATTTATTTTTAACAATGTCTAATAGTGTATTGTATTCAATACCTCTGTTTTTTTCTTTTTTTACCTTTTCTTGTTTCATTGTATGTAATGGCAGAGATTAGGGATTAATAAAGTACAACCATAACCACATAAACAGAAATCTATTTTATAGCAATATATTGGAGGGGACATTTTGAGCATATTTGAATATTGGAGGGGATAGATGTGTCCCCCCAAATGCATATTATAATTACGGCCTTGCATATCAGCTCTTCCGAAAACATCTGTAACGGTGAGGCCGAATGCTGCTGAGCCAGGGTGAGCCGAGGTTACATGAGGTAGGGGGGGAGCTATGGGGGGGATCCCCTAAAACCCCCATCTCCCGAAGCCAAGACGCCACAGTCTGGCCTTCGACTGTGGGGTCCCCTGGCATGAGTTGGTCAGTCAGGGCAAGCCAGTTAGCGTGGGCTTAGGGGGTAGGGCTGAACGATTAATCGATTTCAAATCGAAATCGCAATTTGAAACAATGCGATTAGCAAATGCAAAGGCTGCGATTTTTTGCGATTTGACGAGTCCTATTTCTTATTGGAATTGTTTTATTATTTATTATTATACCTTTATTTATTTAACTTCACAATTGTTCTATCTTGATTTGAAGCTTTCGTGACTGCAGGAATCCATACTCTTTGGTTCTTTCGGTAAAGTCACGTAGGTAAACACGACGTTTCGATCGATTCCAGTTCCACCTGATGACGGACGCTTGTGTTGTTTTATTTATACCTACGTGACTTTACCGAAAGAACCAAAGAGTATGCCTTGGTCTGTTATGCACTATTGACACCATGCACAAGACACGAACTGTGGCGAATAATGTCTCGTCAAACAACTCTTCAAAACCCTCGGCAACAGTAACAGCATGCATTGTTTTGTTTAGTTCACCAGCTTAACACAGCACCCCCACGTGTCCACAATCACGGAACACCGAGGCGACTTTTGACGCCAACCATTATCCATGCTTCACTCCCAGGTGAGGAGACAACGCAGCAGGAACTGGAACTGTTCCACCTGATGACGGACGCTTGTGTTGCGATCGAAACGTCGTGATGTATTTTATTTCTACCTACGTGACTTTACCGAAAGAAACAAAGAGTATGGATCCCTGCAGTCACGAAAACTTCAAATCAAGATTAGACCAAGGCATAGTTAACACATTCCAAATCTTGTTAGGATTCTCTGTATTCCGCATCAAGTTATTGTCCATCTATCTGTCGCCGTTAAAAGAACGTTTACAAATCCGCGTTGGTGCCCTAGAAATATAGAGGGAATTGAATGGGAGAGAAAATGAAACCTAACTCCTCTCCCTATTTAAAAAAAGAACAACCCTCAGCCTCCACCTGATCTTATAAGCTCTTTTTTATAGAACCTCTATTGTGCTTACAGTTATTCTCTATGTACCTTTCTCTGTCAATTATATCTCCCCTGAATACATGTATCTTCTCTATTTTATATTTTTGAATATCTTATCTTGATCTGAAGCTTTCATGACTGCAGGCATCCATACTCTTTGGTTCTTTCGGTAAAGTTAAGGAGGTAGAAAAATAAAATCTCTCCCTAATCTCCCCCATTAACACAACTGACGTGCTTGCGTCCGGGGATGGAATTCCTTTCCAGCTCAGACCCTACCTGCTTGCCCATCGCCACATAAATAACCTCTTGTTGTAGCTGCTCTCTCGCTGGTTCAACAGGTCCAATGCTGGATTTTTTTCACCGCCTGAGAACGACCGCTTGTGTTGCGGTCGAAACGTCGTGATATTATATTTTTCTACCTACGTGACTTCACCGAAAGAACCAAAGAGTATAGTTTTGAATATCTTGTTAACACTTTTTGTTGTATGTGCCTTTTATTGATGCCATTTTTTTATTTGGTTATTAATTTTTAGTTTTCGAGGGGTTTCATTTGTTTTGTAGTTGCTAGAAATAAGATTTGGCCCTGAGATATAATTAATGTGCGGCGTTGTTGGATGAAATTAGCATGACAGAGGCTATAGACAACTAAGTTATTAAATGACTATTATATTGTTAGTATGTCTGTTGAATCTGTTGGTCGAATCGAAATAATGCGAATTAAAATTATTTTAAAAATAAATAACTATTCAAACATCTTCAATGTCTCGCCATTAATGGAGACTGCTAAAATTGCTCAACGTTAAATACAGGAAAAAGTGGGCACATAAGGTTGTTGGCAAAATATGCCACAATGCATGTGTGCATAAACCACGAGAGACGATACACTAACCAACGCTAAGCAGACTTGACAAACACAGATTCTCAATCTTCTTGGTTCTTTCGGTAAAGTCACGTAGAAGGGAGGTAATAAAATAATAAAAATAAAACATAATAAAATAATTCTCACGACGTTTCGGCCACAACGCATTCAGACGCTGTCGCCTCGACAGACCTGGTTTTCACCTGAGGACGGATGCTTGCGTTGTGGCCGAAACGTCGTGAGAATTATTTCATTATGTTTTATTTTTATTATTTTATTACTTCCCTTCTACGTGACTTTACCGAAAGAACCAAGAAGATGAATCCCTGCAGTCACGAAAGCTTTAAATCGAAATCAGATTCTCAATGTTAGCAAGTTATATTGGACGGACATTATTTTGAGACCCATGCCATGGAGGATGGGAATTAAACGCCTTGAAAACACAGAACAAATAAAGCATATAACAGGTGATGGATGGGAAGAAATGGCCTGAACCAACAGACGATAAGGTCAATAATTGGCCACTGATGTCAGCCGTGCGCGAAAATTGAACTCGAGTAGCCTGACTGACAGCCACAGCTTTCCCCTAATATCTGCAGCTCCCCTTTTATTTATATTTTGAATATATTTCTCTCTTCTATAATGCATTTTCTAAATGCATCTTTCTCACCAATCTCACTCCCATAAAAAACACAGTACATATCCTATCGTATATCCAGTGTAATCGGAATGCATAGCTGCCTGCTTCCACTATGAATGTATCTCAATGATCTATTTCTATTAATAAATCTTTTCTATTTTATCTGAATGCATATTCTATCATGTATCTTAAATTTTGTCGAAAATCTATGCAGTATTCACGAATGTTCTCACAAAATCACTTTTGCTTGGGACGAAACGTTAGATGTTCATTCATAACGTGCCTACGTAGTGGTGGAGGCTCTTCCCGTGTTGGTGAATCGTGTGGAAAAATCTTTGGTGATGCTGCACTGGTATACAAGTACAATGAAAAAATCAACAACATTCGTCAATAACACCGTGGTGACGTTTCAAGGCAATGACCTTCAAAGCACATCGGCCAAGAGACAAAGATTGGATAACACAAGTTTGAAACTATAGTCACACCAAAAAAAACCCCAACTTGGGCTCCGAAGCCCTCCTTTGCTCACATACTCAGCTCTGCTGCTGTCCCGCTCACCTCGCTGTCGCAGGCGCCGTCCTCGAGCAGGTAACGCAGACACGCAAGCTGACCCCGTGCAGCCGCGTCGTGCGCTGGGCTCGCCCGTGCCGGACCGGTGCGGATTCTGGCGCTCATGCGTGCCTCCCCGACCAAGAAACGCAGCGCGGTGAGGCTCCCCGCGCGCGCCGCGTGATGCACAGGTGATGCAGGTGATGCGAGGCTGGACCATGCCGCCTGCTGCTGCTGCTGCTCCTGCTGCTGGTGCTGGTGCTCATCTTGCAACGACATGAGCAGCCCCTGCGCATGAAGCTCACGGAGGCTCGTCAGGTCGCCCTGCTCGGCCGCTTCAATCGCGCGCGCCAGCACCGAGTCAGACATGATGATGGTGCCCTGCGTGCTTGAGAGCACGTGGTTTGTTGTTTTAAGACGATGCGAATTGTGGTGCTACTTTATACAAGGTGCATGCCCGTGATCAAACACGGCCCGGATAAAGCGTATGCGGGTGCTTGTGTGATGAGACGGATACAATTACAATACTTTGTCTGGTCATGCCGTGTTTACACATGGTCCCCATGTCAGAACATCGAGTTTCAAATAGTAAACATTTTAGCACGACCCCTAACAATACAGTATATTCACCTGTGCTATGAATGTTACGTGATATTGTTGAACAAGCCTGGCTCCACAATGCAGCTGTTTTGTTTACACCGGGCCTTAGCAAGCAACGTGGTGCACATTTCAATGCCTTTCTATTCTTAAAAAAAACACACACGCTCCTTTTAGCATGCCCATATCTGGTTGCCAATACCTTCAAATTCTTATTGTCTTGAAACCACTTCACATGCCCTGATAGAATCAATATCTATATTCTACACTGTTGCCAGATGCACTGTGTTTAAAGTATACACATTTTTGAAAATGCATTGTCTCATATTTTCCTGTCACTATACTGGTTGCACTGTCACTATATTCAAGTATTATATTTCTCGCTTAGTCTGTAGTTTCTATCAGAACAAATTATTTTATGTCGTGTTGGCTGTGGTGCAAGCCCAGCACAAAATCAGCACATTGGTTAATAAACACTGTCTTAAACGAACTGTCACAAATCACATGTTCATTTTATGGCAATGTTATTGATGATTGTGTTGCGTTTTTTGTTATTTAGGAGTACATTTCACATAAGTGGTGGGGTGAGGGTCATGAAAAAGTATTTTTAGAAGTGTGTCCCAGTCCAAGGAAATTAAATATGCCTTAGATTTATTCCTGCAAGTGTTGCCTTGGAATCCATTGACTAAATCTACGTCTTAAAATACAACAGTTCACTTAAATATTAGACAAAAACACTTTTTTTAAAGACATTTTTAATTAAACTATGTATTGCTGATTAATGTTACAAATTCTAATAAAAAAAGGCCAATTCAATTTGGTTCATATATTTTTTATGTAAAGAAACATGGAAAATGTTGCAATCCATTTTTAAAATAAAATACAATAAATAACCGAACTCCATACATGAAACTTCAGCAACAATCATATGCAAAGTTGCACAAAGTAATTAAATGCCCAGGAGAGGCTGATGTCCAGCTCAGTTTGTATAAACATGTGTAAGAGATGACACGTTCATTTAGTTCTTAAAAAATATTATAAATATTCAGACAAATTAGCACAAATAAACATGTAACACATTAATTGGGCTACATTGACTTTTTTACCATGAAAGTCTCGCAGTTTTCCAGTTATCCTGCGGTAATCAAATGCATACAATGTAATACAAGCCGTTTCCAAAACCTTCAAAATGTATGTCGGCGAAATAATATTTTTCAATACATATAACTCTTGTTTTTATTTAATTTCAGAAAACTCTGTAGACCTGTGCAACTTTCTGCACTTTTTTAAGTAAAGCCTGAGTGTGTTAAACTATGGTATTCATCAATATCAAAGTAGACCTTAAAACTAACAAAATATTAAAATTCTCTCTAGGTTCGCTACAATCCAAGAAAACTGCTATTCTACACAGCTTGGAGAGCAATCTTTTCGAGTCATACAGCCACTCATCTATCCAGGAGATGTTCTTTCTCTTGAAAATGAGCTCCAATTGCCATTCCCCCAACATACAAAAAAAAATTCAAAGCCCCTGCAACGTTCTTCATCATCCAGTTCCATGTAGAAATGACATTTTCAAAATCCAGGTGTGACTGAGAGGAGAAAGTTTTTCAACGTTGATTTCTGCTCAGCAGCAGAAACTCAAAATGATTTGATACTGCGTTTTAGAATTCAGAAGTGATGGCATTGAGATCCTTCATGAGACCTTCCAGACTTGCCATCTCCAGACTAAGGTCATCAGTTGTGTCTTGCTGTGGATACACACAGAAAAGTCCAGTTATAAGAACGATTAGTATATCATGGATCACCTGTCAGACTCAAATAGGTTGAAGGATGGGGAGCATCAATCAGGGATATGGATTCATATTAGCAATACGAATGCGAAGTGTGTTAACAAGTTTGGCAAATTATATTATCAGGATTAGGTATTGTGATGTGACAGTAGTTGAAATGTATGTTACAACTGGGATTCAGAGACATAATAAACTGAAAAGTAAGGAAATCCGTGTGAGCAATGACAATGTTTAAAGAAGAGGTAAAATTAGGGAAAGTAATACAGATCATGAGTTGACAAAGTCTAATTTCAAAGATGAATGTGAACAAATGTGTCAGAATAGGACCGAGTATTGGAAAGAATAATAATAAAAGTTGAACACCCAGAAATAATTTCTCTATAACTAGAAGGTGCATTGGTAAGAGCAGGGGTAAAAGCTTATATATTGGTTTAAGATCCAGAGAGAGCAGCAGCAGCACGTAATTTTCAGAAGAGGACATATTGAAGGATTGCTAGAGCTCATTTAGCCAAATCACCAGACTCAAAGAAACAACAAACATCAAGTAGCAGGGGAAAGTAATGGATACAGAGATTTTCCTAGCAGACATTAAAATAGCCGTGAAATGGCGGGGCCTTGCAAGGTAAACAGGAGTGTGTAGTATCACTGTGTACACTTTTAAAAACAATAGCAAACTCAAATGTAGGAATTCAGGGAAGCTGCATTATGAGGTGGGGAATAGCTACAAGAGGATGGTTGGTAAAATGCCAAACTCATACCATTACAACAAGGGAGATGGACAAGATTGCGGTAACATTAGCAGAATACATTCATAGTGTTGTGCAATTTTACTGCGGGTGTTTAGCAACATTTTTTAAACATTTTATATTCTAAGTTACAGCATCCTAGCATCTTGAACGTGTATGCTGGCAATCAGCCTGTGTCGTTAGGAGACGCGTTAGAATGGGCGTGGTAAGAACCGGTGTTTGATCGCAGAGTATTGTGTTTCCCAGTTTGTTCAATATTGTTTTTGACTATTTACTGAAACTATTAATAGAGACACGGTAACACGACAGACACAGCACGCAAGTGCGTGCTATCCTTCTAAAATTATCTTATTGTGGCTTTATGAGTCTTGTTCTCAAATGTTACAGCGTGGTGATGTCTTGCATTCCACCCCTTGGCATGGGCTGCCGAGAATGTTTATGAAAATTAACGATTTTGTGGATGGAGTCTGACATACTGCAATGTTGTTGCCCTCACAACCCATCTCAAATCCATCCACCTTGTATTCCCCTGTAGCAATATCAATAAAGATTTTCTGATATATAAACTATCTGTGCTTCATTTACACACCTACATATATACACAAAGCAAAAAAATAACATCCCGTTTCACCTACATAGATTGTTGGGAAAGTCTTGTTGGCAAGCACCTATTAAGACTGGCAAGGAAAACAGGAGGATGATGTGACCGGCAGCATACCAGGCTGCCTTTGTCTCCTGATATTTGAACGCCGCACAAGGTCAGGTTGGGCCAACGTGCGGTCGGCTCAGGATTAGTTCAGATATCACTCGTCAATGATATTATCGCCATGGTCATGAATTTAGTTCAGGTCACCAGATTCATAGCGCAATGCACTAACCCATATAGCCTGAACGAACTAATGGGGGCAAGTGCTGTTCGCGAGCACCTATGAAGGCTGGCATGGCACACGAGGGGTGGGTAGCCAGCACCATGCCTGGCCGCCTTTGTCTCCCCAGTGGTGATGCTTACACACCACACCAGGTACTCATTTGAGACCGAGTCGACCTAGGGGTGGCCCAGGACCAGTTCATATAATCGTCACTGGTGTTGGCTGTGACCGGGAATTGAACTCAGGTGGCCGGGTTCATAGTGCTGCGCATGAGCCGCTACACTACCACTCCACATACAAACACATGCACACGTGTAATTACATATGAACATATGAAGCCACTGCTGATAACGGCATCAAGTCAATCATTCGTCCCAATCTTAAAATGCGGCAATCCATCAAGCTCCTACACAGGAGACAACCTATTGCTTAATCTCCTTAGTGGGCATATACACAAATCCTGTATGTACATGGTACAATATACATACAGTATCCTAATAGGCACTATATCTCAATCATTTAATATGCAAGTTAGCACGTTTACCTAAAATCTAGACAATTCTCTCGCCCTAATTGGCTGCAACGAATGGCACTTCATGTTTAACTGTAATGTAGGTGAATTGATTTAAATGGAAGTTAATTAACTGGAATGAAAATATCTAAACGACCCCACAACGTCCACAACTGAAGCAGGCAATACCAAAACAGCTGCTTGATGATGCAGTTGGACTCACATCATCAGTGTCATGCAGCATATGCTTGGCCTCGAGCAATCCTGGGGCACTAGGCACGGTGACGGGGAGGGGTGAGCGTGACCACCCCACAGGCCCCACGGAAGCTGTCCGCACAGACGCGCCTTGTCCTGCTGTGCCTGTAGAGAATGTACCAATAAACCGTGCTCATTACTGTTCACACACAAGCAAAATAAATTACACTCACTTGTAAACAGAGACACACAAACAGTTTTTTTTCTTTAAATTGGTGATAAAACAAAATGTATAAAAGAGCTACAGCTGAAGTTGTAAAATGTGGGTACAAAAAGATGAATGCCTCATCACTTAATGTGAAATGCATTTTGTTTTTTGTGTGTTAAAGGCTGTGGAAGATGGAGAGAAGTAGAAAAGGTTAAGTGTAAATGTGGTCCTTCAGTCTAACGGAATTGCTCCGAATGTTTCATTCTTTTAAATCGGCTACTGAAATCATGATTACAGTGAAAGGATGCAAAAAACTACTTATACATATCCACGTGAACCATTCTCACACATCAGCATACCACTCTGTGGTAGCAGTGGAGCAGTAGAACTGTCCAGTGGGCTGGTTGGGGTACTCAGCGTGGCGAAACTGGAGAAGGTCTGAGATGGTCGCATATGCCCCACTGACATTGAGCGACAGATCTCCTCCTCATGGGTCGCATCCCTCTCCACAGCACTTGGCCCAATGGGAGCCTCTTCCACACTTGGCGTGGTGTGTACTGTGTCTGAGAAAAGACAAACCATGTCATTACCAACTGTTGATTCGTCATGCTCCCGCGTACATCATCTAAAAAGCCAACATGGAAATTATGGTGGTCACTCTTCTAGTTTCAAAAGTGAACACGCGAAGCACTTGCCCATTGTAATTGAAACATCTTAAAGCAACATTTAGTTAAGTAATGGTTTTCTGTACATTAATTTAAATAACCATCACGGCCATGCATGCCACCACAACTTACAATTGCTGAATCCCAGTCAAGACCTGACCTCCAAGGTCTTCACCATTGGAACCTCATTTGCCAGTAAAAACAAAACTGACACCTTTTTTTTACAAGGAGTCATGTTTGTATAGACCACAATACCTGCAGCCATAATGCAAACAAAAATGGTGTAAATGCTTACCCCGAGCTCTCATACTCTGATGGTGCATTGTCTTTGAGTTGTGCGCCTTTTGGCGTCTTCTGGTCCAACACCATGTGAGACTAGGCTCTAAGGAAAGCTGTCTCGGGTGTGGAACCAATCAACTTCAAGGACAGTGCATACATTATCAGAGTTATGTTTTTTGTTTGCATTATGGCTGCAGCTATTGTGGTCTATACAAACATGACTCCTTGTAAAAAAGGTGTCAGTTTTGTTGCCAGATAGAAGGGAAAAGAACCTATTATCATATTTTTACTGGCAAATGAGGTCCCCATAGTGTAGATGTTTGCCCCGAGCTCTCATACTCTGATGGTGCATTGTCTTTGAGTTGTGCGCCTTTTGGCGTCTTCTGGTCCAACACCATGTGAGACTAGGCTCTAAGGAAAGCTGTCTCGGGTGTGGAACCAATCAACTTCAAGGACAGTGCATACATTATCAGAGTTATGTTTTTTGTTTGCATTATGGCTGCAGGTATTGTGGTCTATACAAACATGACTCCTTGTAAAAAAGGTGTCAGTTTTGTTGCCAGATAGAAGGGAAAAGAACCTATTATCATATTTTTACTGGCAAATGAGGTCCCCATAGTGTAGATGTTTGCCCCGAGCTCTCATACTCTGATGGTGCATTGTCTTTGAGTTGTGCGCCTTTTGGCGTCTTCTGGTCCAACCCATGTGAGACTAGGCTCTAAGGAAAGCTGTCTCGGGTGTGGAACCAATCAACTTCAAGGACAGTGCATATATTATCAGAGTTATGTTTTTTGTTTGCATTATGGCTGCAGGTATTGTGGTCTATGTAAACATGACTCCTTGTAAAAAAGGTGTCAGTTTTGTTGCCAGATAGAAGGGTAAAAAACCAATTATCATATTTTTACTGGCAAATGAGGTCCCCATAGTGTAGATGTTTGCCCCGAGCTCTCATACTCTGATGGTGCATTGTCTTTGAGTTGTGCGCCTTTTGGCGTCTTCTGGTCCAACACCATGTGAGACTAGGCTCTAAGGAAAGCTGTCTCGGGTGTGGAACCAATCAACTTCAAGGACAGTGCATACATTATCAGAGTTATGTTTTTTGTTTGCATTATGGCTGCAGGTATTGTGGTCTATACAAACATGACTCCTTGTAAAAAAGGTGTCAGTTTTGTTGCCAGATAGAAGGGAAAAGAACCAATTATCATATTTTTACTGGCAAATGAGGTCCCCATAGTGTAGATGTTTGCCCCGAGCTCTCATACTCTGATGGTGCATTGTCTTTGAGTTGTGCGCCTTTTGGCGTCTTCTGGTCCAACCCATGTGAGACTAGGCTCTAAGGAAAGCTGTCTCGGGTGTGGAACCAATCAACTTCAAGGACAGTGCATATATTATCAGAGTTATGCTTTTTGTTTGCATTATGGCTGCAGGTATTGTGGTCTATGTAAACATGACTCCTTGTAAAAAAGGTGTCAGTTTTGTTGCCAGATAGAAGGGTAAAGAACCAATTATCATATTTTTACTGGCAAATGAGGTCCCCATAGTGTAGATGTTTGCCCCGAGCTCTCATACTCTGATGGTGCATTGTCTTTGAGTTGTGCGCCTTTTGGCGTCATCTGGTCCAACACCATGTGAGACTAGGCTCTAAGGAAAGCTGTCTCGGGTGTGGAACCAATCAACTTCAAGGACAGTGCATATATTATCAGAGTTATGTTTTTTGTTTGCATTATGGCTGCAGGTATTGTGGTCTATGCAAACATGACTCCTTGTAAAAAGGTGTCAGTTTTGTTGCCAGATAGAAGGGTAAAGAGCCAATTGTCACTCCAAGGTCTTCTTTTATAGTAACCTACAATTTGACTTTTGGACATAGCCTTGGTCATCCACTTCTGCATGCCATTTTTGTTAGGCTATACCATAATTTACATGCATTTCTCCACTTCCGACTAAAATAAGATAGAAAAATGGCTCTTCATACGGATTTAACCGTTCCTATTACACAACCTACGTAATATGAAATAACAATTCACATTTATAATGCGAATTCCATCCTAGGATCCCAATGCGTAATGCATGAAAAGCAGGAAACAAAAACAGAACCAGGGCAACTGACCAAACTAAAGAGGGAAGGCCACTTTAAAGCGATGGGTTTTCAAAGCAGACTTAAATATATCTACCGACTCCGATTGCCTGATTGTTAGTGATGCAGATAGCGCAGAAGATACTGTTGCATAGTCTGGCCCTAAACAGATATACATTTTAGTCCCATATGCATAGCTATGGTGGGATAAGCCAAGATGTCGGAGCAGAGCACCCAATAGTGCCATGTAGATGGTAAAAAGTGATGGTGCAAACACAGATCCTTGCGGAACACCACGGAGAGCCGGTCTAACTGGTGCCTTGAAGCAATCCTCTGTGATGAAGTATCTACGTTTCTTTAGTAAGAGTGGCACCACAACAAAGCAATGCCAGAGATCCCCATTTAAACTTCCAATGACTCAAGGAAGAACCTCGTGATCAAGATTCAAATGCCGTGCTTAGATCTATCAGAATGAGGAGGCTGGCAAAGCCTTTATCTGCTGACAAAAGGAAATCATTGCCCACCCTTACCAAAGCAGTCTCGGTGCTATGAGCAGGAAAGTAATTTGGACCGGATGATGGTAATTTTATTGTAAAAAAACTTTAGTACAAAAATCAGCAGGAATGGGAGATGACATTTGGTTCTTATTCAAAAGTGGACTGATACAGGAAAATAAAGTCCGATGATTGTTATCACTATTTGCAATGCGACCAGCAACGAAGGAGGATTAAGCCAAGGCAATGTTATGATAAGTACTAAGTTGTTCTTTAAATATTTGATGATGAATAGTGAGGCCGGACTTTCTTCAAGCATGTTCTGCTTTATGGACGGGAGTTTTTTTCACCCTCAATTTTGCAGTGTACCATGGTGGAGGGTGATGGGATGATAAAACACTGATGATAAGGCAACGCAGGGGCACACTAACCAATCAGGCTACCGGCCCAGTTAGGAAGAGAGGCCCGTCCACACATGCACATGCAATCCTCGTCAGGATAACCAGAAATTATGAATACATTGATCATTATTATCAATAAACTGATAACAAATGTATGCAAATATTGATTTCAAAGTCATAGAATTAAGAATCTAATATGGTTAAACTCTCGTAATGAAAGCACCAATTGGCATAAGCAAACGTTCAAAACACGCAGCATGTTACAATGTGAATGTTCCCATGGAGGGCACATCAATCACCATGAAATAGGTTCGAACAGACATATTTACAGGGCCTGACTTTTAGTTTTAATTTTATAAAAATCGTTCAACATTATCAATAACCATGATACATCCACTGCTGATGTCTCCATCTGTCATGGTCTTGTGATATAACCATCGGCCTAGCACCTGCAACCGCGCTGATGTGATAACTCCATCCGGGTTGACATCCACTCAATCAGTGACCATCATCCCTTTTTGGGTCGTGTCCTGTCTAAACCCACATTAACAGTCGATATGATGTCTCTAACCTCTGTAGTTCACGTGTTCTTTGTCCTGTCACAGTGGAATCCCGAGAATGCATCTGTCCATGCTGCTTTGCCAACTTTAAAGTTTTTGTTCCATGTTATTTGTTAATGTCCCTGTTTGTGATCCATAGGTCATCGCAGGCTCTAAGGATCGGTTTCAGTCTATCACTGTGAAATCGGGAATGTTTAACGCAATGCCTCAATGACCCAACCGATCACCTCTCAGATTACCACCAGCACAGCCAAAGCAGTCGTCCGCCAAACCACACAAGAAGAAGCCATGTCAACACTTCTAAAACATTTATGACACCAAAGTACATTTTTAATGCAATGAAAATTGAAACAATAAATGAATTAGTCTGGTCTCTGTGTGTATTTCAGTTAAAATCACGACACCGTGGTGAAGAAATGGTCTAGTACTCAGATTTGTTAGCCAGGCAAGCAAGAAAGCACAATGACTTTAGATCACCAAGTATCTCTAGTAATCCACATCACTGTTAAATTATGACTTTCCCAGCAAATTCGAATACTCATATTTACCAGCTAGGTAAACCGATATATATATGGTCACTAAGTACTTCTATGAAACCACAACACTGATTATAATCAGTATTAACGATCAAGATTCAGAGTAAATTTTACTACTCGACAATTGCCTCTTGAGACTTCATAATGAGAGCACATTGATCTCAGTGAAAGGCAGGAGGATGTGTGGCACAGTATGGCGCCAGCTGTCATAGATCAAGTCATGTAGCAACAGTTCTCTGCAGTGAGTACATTACAATGTCTTTAAAAACAGCAGCACTATGACTCTATAAATACAATTAACGCTAACCGCTTGCGCGGTCCGAGATTCAGCGGTGAGAACAGGACCCACATTGCAACTTGCAGACGTCTCAGAACTGGAAAGGGTTAAGCTATTCACAACAACTATGCTTCGAGGATGATGGTCAAATTCCCATGGGTACTCGTGACACCGATTGGAAAACTGCACCTCTTGGAAATTCGAAATCCCCCAAGTTCCAGTTCAAAGTTGCACTCGCAGTCCTCCAGTATAGGATCGCCTTGGGTAATGATGAGAT